ATTTTGCAATCCTAAAGCTAATTTGAAAATTTTAATTGCACTGTAATTCGTGATAATTGTTATCGCTTCCTTAATTCTGTGAAATCTAGAATAACAGTAATCGGCAATGTGAAATGGAGGTCAAGAAATAATGAATCGACACAAATAATAAATAGAGATTACAGAAAGATTGGAGTAAAGGAAAGTCTTGAAAGAAAATACTGAGAGTGGCGAGACAAAAGAAGAATTAAAAACAGAAAAGCCAGAGATAAGTGACGAAATGAGATGAACACATCGACTCGATCGACAGATAAGAGTTAAGGAATTAAATTCATTTATAAAAACGAGGAATCGTTATGACGTAAATAAACTGTGTAAAACGTAATTTAATTTATTGTTAAATAATCTTAAAGATTATTAGTTTATATAATCGCGATACAACTAGAATAGACCTTACAATTCGCGATAGAACTTACAATTTTTTCACATCGTGTCCACAATAAGACTTAACGAGAGACTACTTCTCTCGTCGTTTCGCAATCGAGCCTTTTCTCAAACATATTTTTTATTAAAACTTTTTAAAATTTAACCCATTGAGGCCTTCACTTTCTATTCTCTTAATTGATCGTTTGATTAATGATCGAGCAATGATTAATGGTTGTCGGTGGCGACGACAATAACAGCTACGATAATGACAATAATAACGCATAATAAGCGCATAGCTTTTTGCCGGCTTTGCTGGCTCTAATCATACAGATGCATGTTGCGATATTATCGTGGAGAAACGGCATCTCGTCGCTCACGCGCTCCGGCGAGAAAAAAAGCGTGGAAAACGATTAAAAGTCCAGGTCGAGGAGCTCTCGTGCGCTTAAGCGCAGCCGGTCGTGGCACGTGAGCGGTGCTCCGCACGCACGCACGTGAGCACGTGCGTGAGCGCGATGATTTACACGGTACGCGGATTTAGAACGTAACCCGCCGGTTGTTCCTCGGGCGTACGTGCGTGCGTGCGTGCGTGCGTGCGTGCGTGCGTGCGTGCGTGCGTACACCACGAATATGTTCGTGCACAAAACATTTTAAGCGAGCGTTAAAAATAACGTTAGCCCACGAGGTAAAAAAGCTCATTATGTAATGCATGCTATATTAAGTAACACACATTATCGAACTCTCTTCAGTTGGAAATGTAGAGAGAAATGTCTTGAGGTAAATATTGCCGCTTTCGATGGAAATTATGAAATTATATCTCGTATATCCTTTGGGGATTCTTAATTCCAAGTTAAGATCCACGTGATAATTTTAAAAAAATTGAGCATTTTTTTGAGCTGGAAAGAAAATGACTTTGGATTATTATTGTATATTGAGCCTTAGGAGATACGAATAAGAGGTAGGTGTTATTCTTCTTGATGTCAAATCAAATTGATGTGAAAGCACATTCAAACGGGATATTCACGTATTTATGGTGGGGAAAGCGCCTATTTTTTTTTTCTGAACGCGTCATTTCGACGCACCGCAGTTCTTTATAACGAACGTACTTTTTCTTCGAGCGAGAACCCCTTCGCTACTCGGAAAAAGGAAGCGACGTTAATGTCGCACGACCCGGCTGGTAGACAGTGCGACCGTGGAGGACCTTGCCCATCGTCTGCCCTTCATGTGTTTGAATTTAGAAGAATTTAGTTCTAGGAAAGAGACTGCAAAGGGTTTCACCAGCAGTCCATTTCCACGTGCTGATCATTTCGCGTCACCCTTGTCTAGCACGAAAGTTAGCTCTCGATCCCTCGAAGCAACATGTTCTAGATACAAAATTATTTGTCGGATAATTTTTCTGTAATATTGGATATTTTGTAACATAATTTAAGTTTGCGCATCGTCATTCCTTGGCTTCAATTAAGTAACACAAATAAAAAAAACGTGATTTCGAATAGTAACTATGAATTAGTTAAGTAAACGTTATCTTATCAGTCATCAAAAATGAACTGTCATAAAAAAATTGTCAAAATAGTCATACAGCTGAAAAAGTTATCGATTGATTAAATAATATCGACAAAAAGAACATTTAACAACAATGATATTCTTGTTAAGTATAATTTCTTTCTATCGATATTATTTGATAAATCAATAATTTTTTGCCAGGTTAAAAAATAGTTCTTCCTTTTTCCTGGGAAAGTTTTTAAATGAGGGTCTTTTAAAATAAGGATAAATTTATATGTATTACATGAAAAAATTAATAATATTAGTAGTGAGATAATAAATTAATAATTGAATAAGAAATTAAAATAAAATAAATTAAATTAGTAACAAGATAGTAAGAAAAATTTAATAATTTTTAATTTATTTATATTATAATTTAAGAAAAATATTAAATTGCAGATTTAAAAATTTTTAATTAAATATTTAAATAGTATATTATATAAATAAGATAATAAATATATTGAGATGCGCGAGTATTGAATTTTAATAATTTTTTATACTTAAAAATGTGTGTGTGTGTGTGTGTGTGTATGTGTGTTTAAAAAGCTAGAAAAAGACTAATAATATGCTCTAATAATATATGATGTACTCTAATAATATATGAACTCTTTAAGTACATTATACCGTAGCGACATTTTAGCGCGTAAGGTCGTCGTTCCCCGCAGAGCTATTCTGTTCCACGTATCACCGTGCTCGTTTTGCCCGTGGCGAACAGAACATAATGAGGGAAGCGAGAATAGTCCTTAGAAAATGAAGCAAGGAGAATCGCTTCAGGAAAAGATGCCTCTCGAGTGCCCGGAGAGATGACTGACGAACGTCGCTAATGAGAGAGCGCGCGTGCGTTCCGTATTTTCCTCCTTCCTGAATGCGAACCTTTGAAAATTCGGTTAACGACTCGAGCGAACAACGAGTCCCCGTCTCCCTGTGTCGTCTTCCAAATTCCTTTAGTCACGAATCTCCCAGTGCTTCCTTTTTTTTTCCTCCCTACAGAGATGCGCGAGAATTAGCCGTGCAAAACGCGAAGCAATCTTCTCCTCGAGTCACTTGAAGCGCAAAGTGGGAGGTATTTTCGTCGCACGTATATATTTTCCTAAGAAAAATTGCCGAATATTCGGTGTCCCGGGTTTTTACGATGGCATAAAGCAGGAGCGAGCTTTCTCCCGGCAATATAGGTGGTGTCATTTAGAAATCATGGAGGCAAAAAGGAAGATTTACTTTTAATGTGTCCCTCGCGGGATGAAAAAGATCCGTCGCGGCGAATCCCTTTTTAGATCCGCTTCGGCGATTCCTCAAAGAACGAGGAGACGTTATCGTTTGGTGTACATCGTTCTCCGAATAATATTCTCTTTTCCCCTTTCGCCGCGTTCTGATCCACGAATGTTTGATCTCGCTGGAAATAGGAAACCAGCGGACACGCTCGGTTTCTCTGTTTGACATTTGCTCGAGTTAGAGTTGCCTGTGGTCGGAATGTACTATTCACAGGGTTGGGTAAATTAATGTTTTTTTTTAAACTAAATTAAGTTAAAGTTAATGGTTATAAAATAATGCTTATAAAATTAATAAAATTAAGTTAAAAGTTGAAGGAATAAAGAATTAATTTAATAAAAGTTAAGTTAAGATTGAATTAAGTTAAGTTTAAAAAAAGGTTAATTTTGAAAAAAATTATTTTTGAGATCAGAGTGTCCTAATTTTTCTTAAAATGAGATTACTTTAAATAACACTCTTACAAATATATTAGATATATTAAATTTAATTTTATATTCACATGTAAGTTACTTATATATAATAAGAGTCACACATAAGGCGTTTTTGTCAAAATCTTGCGAGAGAAAAGGATATATGTTTGCATTATTTCTTTTTCTTTAACCATTATCTAACTTTCTTTAACTTCTGAAACGTCTGCTCATGCATGTTTACGATTACCTCGATTAGATATTTGTACAAAAAATATACGTAAAAATTTAGAAAATGAATGAATGTGCAGTACTGTTCTACGACAATTCTTCATCTAAGACTCATTTCATATTTATGTTGCTAAAATATAACGTTTATGATGTCTAAAATTAGTATGATTTAAATATAAGTAGGAATTGAAAATTTAGCGAATCAATAAAAACTGACTACCATATGTAACTCTTATTATAGATCTCTCATCATAAAATCATTGAACTTTTTCTAAATTAATTCTCTAATGTTTAAGACTTTATAGAAAAAAAAATATTAGCATTAAGAGAGATAGAAAAATTTTTAATTAAAAAAAAATTGATAAATTAAAGTTTAAAAGTAACTAAATTAAGTTAAAAATTAATGCATTTAAAATTAACTAAGTTGAGTTAAAAGTTATTAACTTTTTTTTTAACTTTTAACGTTTTAATTAGTTACTACCCAACCCTGACTATTCATATTCAATTACGCATCGCGTGTGCAGTACATTATAAAACGAAAATGGAATACAATCTTTTTTTACATGAAAGGGTAGAATAAATTTTAAAATGCGCATTCGAACTTAAGTTATAAATCGTACGTGATATTTAGCGATGAGCGATATATTAGATGAGAATTTATCGGTACAAGAAAATAAACCACTCTGTATGTGGAAAATCAAGTGATAAGCCTATCCTGTAGATAAGGAAAACGCAAACGGATTGGTGTTGCATTAAATGCAGCAGCAGATGGTTATACTTCACAGATGATGTATCATTCAAGATGACGTACTTGTGCGTGTACACATAAATTAAAATGCATGCAATTCATCAAAGTTACTCATTAAAAATGTAGATATGTAATTGATAAAGATGATGAAACGTTCGCATGATTTGAATGTAAGTGATAATTTTATCAACTCAATCTTTAATGTTTTTATGTATATTATCCTTCCCCCTCTTTATGAATATATTTCCCTTTTTTGAGAAAATAATTTTTTAAGTTGTAAAGTAAGAGAACGATAGATATAAGTAATGTCTATATACAGTGCGTTTTAAATGATGTCAATATTTGAAGAGGTAAATCTATATATTAAAATAAGTAAAAATTATGTGAACATATGGCCTACATACTTTAGTTTAAAGTTGTATGGATGATTGAAGAAAATGTCCGAAATATTTTCCTCGTGCATCAACATATATTATTTAATGGATCCGCCTCGCTCCATCGGTTTATGAAGGTGTTGTTCAGAAATGTTCTTCTTTCGAGATGAAAATGAGGTAGAGCACTATCGTACATTAATTTACAAGTTTTGCTTGGTAACTAGGAGTACCGGAACAGTAACTTGCGAGCGTAAGATACTGACTGCCTGAAATTCTCTGTACTGATAGGTATTGTACTGATAGGTATTGTACTGATAGGTATTATTTGTAAACATTAAAGAACGTGAAACGTACGTGCTAAGTTATATAATAACATGTGTTGACGCACATCGAATACTTCGATATACATTTTCTTGAATTGTTCATAACTTGAAAACTAAGATAGGATGTAGGTTCATATAATATTTTTTACTTAATTTAGTGTGTAGATTTGCCTCCGAAAGTAGTGATATGCATTTATGAACTACTCTGTAAGGCACAATGTCCAAAATCGGAATATATATATATATTTTTTTTTTAATAAAATGTCTTTTAGACATCACCTATATCGTTCTCTTATAATTTCACAACTTAAAAAATTAATTTTCTCAGAAAAGGGGAAAAACTATTTTTTAACTTGATAGAAAATCGTTGATTAATTAAATAATATCAGCAAAAAGAAAAGTATTCTTAACAAGATCAAATATCATTTAGTCATTTTTGTTTTACAATTAACACAGGAATAGTCTATTGAGTTGTTTTTACATCTCAATGGCAAAAAAAATTGTAAAAAAATTGTAAATTGTAAAATATTGTTTAGTATGGATATTGTTTAATGTATTTTTTCTTTTTTAGTAACTATTCTTTACGAACTTTTAAATCTGCAATCGAAAATCCACAAAAAAAACGTTGTATTAAAAATCTGTATTCTTTTTAAATATTGTTGTAATTAGCTATTTGACGTGTTTATTCTGTTTATTTATTTGATTTCTACTTATCTATTTACTTTTGTCAAAAAGTTGTCATTAAATCCATACTCATAATGTTCTGAAACATTAATAAATCGGAAAATAATAATAAACAATATATTATTAACACATTGAATGCGATGGGGATCATCGATGATTGGCACTCAGTTTGTCTGTGATGCAGAGGACACCGGTGACCGGTGATGTCAAGATAATAGAAACACATAATTCGAATAAATGTCAATATTTCTAAATTTTAACACAATATGTATGGCATGATAACAGATTCATGTTGCTGCTTTGGATAAGTGTAATATCAGCGTAACATTCAACGTGTTAATGATAATTGTTTTAATTGTAGTAATAAAAATACTCAAGTAATGGTTTACGTAAAAAAAATTAAGTGAAACCTCTCGGATTTAAAAAAATCATTCTTTTATTTTAATAATTTAAAATTTTTTTTTCAAATTTTAATTATTGATTTTGATGATTTCTTTCTTAAATCACTTTTTTGAATTTTAATAATTTTAACAATTTTTTATGAAGTTAATTCACTTTTGATAGTTGATAGAATAATGCTTACTTAACTTATTCATGGTAAAATAACTTAAAAATCACGTTTTTTTTTAGTTACGTCATTGAAATAAAAATGATATAAAGACATCTTAAACATATTTTAATATCTCAAGTTTTAATTTTTTAATTTTGATTTTGACAGCTGTCTTGATTAATTTGACGATTATTGCGTATATATTGTATATGACGGTTATATGTGTATAGCAATTGAATGGATATAAGCAGAATCGCGAGATCGATTTTTACGATATTGACATTTGACAGTCACGTGAAAGCTCGACTTGTACATAACACCGCGCAATTATAAGTTTCACATCGCCTGCATAGCTGGCGAACGAAGGCCGTTTCGCTTGGATTCGATTGATCGCCGACGGGCGTTACCTCGTCTCTGAAATAATTCATGTATCCCTGAGTGTGAGAGCACACCAACGACGCCAACATAGAAAATCACCAGCGTCGATCTGGCGCCTAGTCATCGAAGAGATGTCAGATCGATCTATTCCGTGATGCATACCAATCGATGCATCCGTTCACGTAGTAACTCGAACGCGCCGCCGGCCTTTATCTACTCTGTATGCTCGCTCAATCTTGATCCCTTCCCGATTTGCATGTCAGGCGAATTAATTTCGAAGCGATACGCTAATTTGCTTGCATTGCGCTCATGTCGCACCGAGGAACGAGGAGTTTCAGTCTTCCACGAGTAATAATCGAAGCTGTCTAGGTGCAGGTAATACTTAAGGATGTAAGCGGATACTATCTTAAGGAAACACGCAATCATCACGCACGATTTAATATAGTCAATAAAATTTATTAATATTCTCATGAGTTCTCGGGAATTCTCAATTTTGCTATATATACATATACACAATATAAGTGGAAATATTAAACAGTCATATTTCTTATATCTTTGCAGTATTGATATTTCAATGAACCTGTATAATCCGCTTGATTCAGGTAGTACGTTCTATCCATATTTTCAAGACGGCCGATATATGTAGACACATTTGTATGTCTATATTTGACTAGGATCATCTGTAGGTCTGTTCTTTTTTTATTTCTGTACTAGACTACATTAAAACTCTCTTTTTCGCTTTGGCCAAATATCAAACATAATATATATCTATTTCACTTTCAAAAATGTACACTAGTTCAGCCACAGAAAACAGACTTTATTGTAATATTATAAACAGACGCACGTCTAAGATACAGGCTGTCTTTAAAGTATGTATAGGACATATTTGTATCACAGTAACATATCTAATACATGTTACGAAGTTTGTACTCCATCTGACATGTGATGCTAGCGTACAAAATGCGCTTATTACATTTACAAATACTTGCCCAGTTACTGTCATTCGGAACTATCGTTTTATGTACACCAAAGTATACATAGTAGTTATGTACATAGAGAAAAACATAGTAATGGAAACTATGTATAAAGGCGACAACTATACAAATTTGATATGTACAATAAATGTAAATATGAATGAACATTTTATTTTTAATTGAAAAAGTTGTGATCCTTCCCAATAAACGAAAATGGATTAAATTGAAATTTTTTTTATCCGAATGCGTATTTCAAATAGTGAATCCTTTTTTTTGGATTTAATTGGATTCAATTGGATGCAATTGGATTGAAAAACTGAAAAATTTCCTATTCAAAATTTTGAATTGAACAATATTCACAATGTGTGCGTGTTGCACAGAAAAAGCTATTATTTTTAGATTGAAAGGCATAGAGATATGCTCCATGCAATTTTTATAAATGAATAAAAATGCATTCAGGATTGAAAAGCATTCATTTTAACATTCGTGAATCAATATTTCTGAAAATCTGAATCCATTTCAATTCATTTCAATCCATTCTCGTTTGCTGGATTGCTTAAAGTCAATTCCCTTACAAAAAAATACACTGAACTAGGCGTTAGCAGTCCGAAATGACTTAAATTGAGTGTTAACTTCCAAATAAACCTTCATCTTGAGGATTAACACTTAATTCGAATGTTATTTCGGACCGCCAATGCCTAATTCAGTGTATTTTTTCGTAAGGAAAAGTAACGTTGGTGCAATCGGGCCTCAATTATTTTCTTTTTACATCTAACACACATTCTACAGGAGTATGTATAGATATACTCTAGGACATCTCAGATTTTTTGAACTCAAAATCTTTTAAGTTTTTCGTACATTTCACAATAGCCTTAATTATGAATCCATAAATCCGGGTTCTCGATCCCATTCACGCCTCACATGCGTAAAAAAATTCATTTAAAAAGGAGCTTACTGCTCCATCTGTGTGATAAGTTAGAAAGCTTAAAGATTATTGTGAAATGTACGATTGCTTGGTCCACGGATCGAGCAGAGTTACTCAGCGCCTCGAATAAATATATATTTTTAAATTGCGAAACTATAAAATAATTTATTCAGTTTTTCGCGTGACATTAATTCTACATATAAAACTTGTATATTTGTCACCTTTAAGTTACCACTACTACGTCTTTTCTTTTGAGTGTATGTAAAGTCTCTTGTCTATATGATTACGTGACATATCAAATTGCAATGCATGATTTACGAAAAATAATTGATGACGGATGCTGCAATTATATTATTCCTTTTTTGTTCGAAAGATAACTTCAATCATACTTTTAAATCTATTATGAATAGCACTTCTAAAAGAAAATTAATTTAGTTAGCTTCTTTAGAAGAGATTTCTATATAGAAATATTTCTTCATTATCGATGATGTATCGATTAAATTATGCTGGTCTTTTCCTTGAAAAGTGATACACATTAAAAGACGCGATCGAAAAAATCACAGATGAAACCCATGCACGACTCGCGTAAAATTAATTGTAGTAGTACCTGTGAAGCTCACCATCGAACATAACTCTTGTACTCTTCGGTTATGCTCACTCTCTTGATAGTTTCGTAACCTAGAATTATCGAAAAACTAAAGCAGGCAGATTGGACGAGCCTCGCAGAGAGTCCTTTGCTAAACATATGCAGTCCTTCCTCGATCCACAGTATCCTAAATGCACTAAGCATACTGTCTAATCGTTGCACTTGCAATCTCGCTCTCACGATGTCTAAAGGATTCGTAATGATCGTGGTCGTAAAACCACCCAATGTGCCCGCAATCGCCTGTATACACAAGTGCGAGAACCAGTTCGGAAGTAGCTTTATAAGTTCATCTGCCAAAAAGGAGATATAAAAAAACATTACTCTTTTTTTATTTAATAGCTACGAAGTAGGATTGATGATGATTGGAAAAATCATGGACTTTATTCCAAAAAATTTGCCAACCCTGTTGTACAAAGTACAAAGTACAATTACCTTGATAAACCGTATACAATCCCCACCAAAGGGCACTATTAGGTACATACGCACACAAGGATGCCATATACCCTCGATAGAAGCCACGATAACCATCTCTCTGATAAATCAATCTTATTATTTCCGCGGAGATTTGCGCGCGAGTCTTTCCAGATTCAAGGGTCAGGCCTAAGGGATTCATTCCCATCTATAAAGAATAGAAACATTCGGCGTTAGTACCTCAAAGGAATCGTTGTTGAAGGTGTAGTGAATTTAGTAGAAACTTCTTGACTCACTTTATCTACGTACACCCTGCCGTGCTTGGTGCTATTTATGCCGAGAACCATTAGATGTTGACTGAGAACATCGAAAGGAACGACTATCGTTTGCCCAACTAAACTGGCAGCACCGCCAGCAATCAACGCTTTGACTTTGGAGTCAACGCGTCCAAGGGGTGTATCTTGACCAAGCAAGTGACGTACTCCTTCATAGGTTGATACATAAAATACACCAGAGACAATTTGAATGGAGCTTATCCAGAAACCTCGATAAAGGCCTGAAAAGCCTTCCACTTTATAAATTTTTCTACATGCATCTATCATACCTACGGAATAAAAGATATTGCATGAGAATTCGAAGGAAGATTATTTACTCTCTGTAAAATTGATTTATATATAATATTATCATGATGAAATTAATTTGCTTAATTTGCGATCAAGATATTATTATTTTCAGCTTTAGTTTATGATTGTGTTTCAAATCGGATAGTAATCAACATGCAGTTTATTTAATTTATTAAAACATGTGTTTAAAATTTACATAGAAATATTATTAGGCATTAAGTTTCAGCTTCAATAGCGTACAAAGCGCTTTTTACCCAGTTAACACCACTAACAGTAATAGAAAATCAATGTTAATTTCACTCTTGACAAGTAATTATTATGTACGTGTAATATGTGTGTGTGTATGTGTTATATTATATTTATATTGTTAAGACCCAGTTCCACAACTCACGGTTAATTCTTAACCGAGGTTCAACTTGTTTCTCATCTTTTTCCAATTCTAGAATTGGAAAGAGACAATGAATAAGTTGAATCTCGGTTAAAAGAATTAACCTCGATTTATGGAACTGGGCCTTAGTGTGAAATAATAATATTGATGTTAGATAATATTTACTGAGTTACTTATTTGTATTCACATTTTAGTCTAGTTTAATTTATTATTGTTTAATTTGCATTACCATTGTACATGTGATTTTGTCTTTGCACTTGTAGATGAGTTTTGATCACTGTCAGGGGATACAGGCAACACCTGACCGAGAATGAGGATAGCATGCTGAGCGGGAAGAATTTCGTCTTGTCCATCATGTCCCACTCGATGGTGCGAATGAACGGTGTTGCCTCTACTGCAGACATCTCTCGAATATGAACAGTTATTGTAGCTCGTAGCGATAGACGGATCAAACAGAAAGACTCGCCGAAGATTTGGCCTAACTTGATGCCGCATATCTCATCGGTGTGTTATGAGCATTAATGTTCCAAATTCTGTAAGTTTACAAATTTGTAATTACTAATAATTTGGGCAAAGTCAGAATTGGGAGTATAATTAATGTAACCAGATATTCTATTTTTGAAGTGATGTTTCGCCGTCAAAATATATCGAAATAAGAAAGAGAATAATTGTACTATTTTTTAAAATAATTATTATTGTATTTATTATTCTCATTCATATATTCATACATTATCATTTTCATTATATTCTCCCCCATATTTTCCCCTATTTGTGTAGTTGAACTACATTTCTTGCACTAAAAGACCTGTTTTTTTTTTAGAATTCTTTGAATTGATGCAATAAATTAAAATGAAACAAACTTACATTTGTTGTTTCACTTTAACTTACTGCACTATTATATGCATCAGTTCCAAAAGTTCATCAATAAAGAACTTAAAATTAAATAGATATATGTTGTGAAATTTGACGAAAATGAAAAGAATAAAGTTCTTATGCAGTCAAGTACACAGTAAAAAGCTTATGAAATATCAGAAAGAATCAGAAAGTTAACTTGTTAGAGTGTCTTTGAGGTTAACTTAACCTCAAAAGAACTCACTTCTTGAGTTATATATTCACATAATTTATATAATATGTATACTGCATAAATGAATTTTAATACTATAGATGAAAGATATCTTTCTGCCATTTCGAAATACATCTTCAACGGATTGTGCTTTGTCATTATAATTGCAAAATGTCAAAAGCAAAATGTCATTTCGGAGTCGATCGATTCAAACAATAAGAATCATAAGGAATTCACAAGGAATTTAATCGGATTTAATGAATTGTGTTGTAAAACAATAAGATTAACAGTAGAAGAAATTCGGCAACATTCAAAGCATGATAATTAAGAATAAAATATAATATTTTACAACATTGAAGCAATCCGTTACTCCGAAATTCTCTTCGTTGCTCCAAAGTCCAAAACATGAATGTATCTGTATTATTTTCCTATCACAGTGGTTATGAGCTGGTTATGAGAAATTTGTTAAACAATCATTTTGAATTTTTGTCTGAATAGCGATGCATGTAAAAATGTTCATGTCTAACAAATTGGAGCAATTAGAAATAAGTAAATTATAAGTAAAGTTGTTATTGTCGATTTTAATTAACACATTATTATAACATAATTTAAAAGTATTAACATTATTATTGATGATGCAATTACACAGGAAAGTGTAAGTCGTTCACAAAAATCGTTACTTACAATGATGTAATGTGCTATCCGATGATGATTTATTCCGAATTCTTCTCAATGTTCGCCTCTGTCGAGAGGAAAATTTAGATGTTTACAAAATAGTCGACATGGTCAGTCGTTTTATTACGTATTAACGCACGTGTTTAGTGTATTCCTTAAGGCAAATTCATTTTCATTCACAATATTTCACGACGAAATTATTGCAACGACGAGTTAGCAAAATCTGTGAAAAATGATGGGCCATTCACTCGGCAAGGTTGTTTTGTTGCGCACGCGCTCGATACTCTTCTATATTTCTTCTTGGTAGTGACATCTCAACGAAAATCCTGGATGTTACGTGATGTCACTTATCTGTGGATGTACAAAGCGGTAGCACCTGTTATCATCAATAAACGTCTTAATCACTAATTCTTCCTCAACGAAAACTCGAGGCAACAATGACTTCTCTGCGAATAATAATAAAATGAACAGCCTCCTTTGAGCAAAGAATTTAATAGTAATATGTTAAAAAAGTTTTATACAGATCATTCCACCAATATTGTAGTAATATTACAAATATTGCAGCAATGTTATTGCAAATTTCTATATTCAATGGAATAATTAATTTTTATTTAATTTGATTTTTTATTTAATTTTGAAATTATATTCATTTAATTGAGATAAATTCAAATTTTGTCATCTTACAAATAAATCGATGAATAAATATTATATTGTTTATATATCTTGCTTTTAGTTACAGCTTTGCAACTTAATGAATTCGAATGAAACAAAAAAGATTATGGCTATTATTTTTATATATTATAATTATACATGTATACATTTTTTCCAGCACAAAAAAAAGAAGCAGAAACATTGCAATATTATTGAAATATTCCAATGTTGCTACAGTAATATTGCTGGAACGATCTGTGTCATAATTAATTAGTTGGCACAAAATCTATCCCAACGCAGATTTTTAATAATTTTTACTAAGAATCGCTTTAAATCCTCAAAAATCTTCTAAAATCATAATGTATATAATATGCAATTTAGAAAGAGAGTTCACGGAGTTTTTTATCATGCAGTACTTTATTCAAGAGACATCCTTGGAACGTTCTGAGGATGTTCATAGGATATAGAGACGTTTTCAGGATATCTTTAGGGCGTTCTTTAGCAGTCCATGCTATATGAACAGTTAGCTTATTCCATCCAAGTTGCTGAAACGCTCACATTGGCCCAGGCTGATTTGAAGTTACATTAAAAACGTATCTCCATTCGCGCGCGCGAATATCTCGATGGCGATCGAATCGAATTTGCTCAAAGCTCGAGCTGAGAGAGCCCGTGATCCTCTCTCGCGTGGAGGTTCGTAGCATCATCCCTTCGTTGATCATCGAGCTGGCATGTCGCCAATGAGTTTCAGGCTCCGCCCAGCGCCCGGTTAGGTAGTGGTCGGCAAGGAGGCGAAATACGCGCAGGACTGAGTTCTACGTCACATTGGGGGCGTACACCAGAGCTCGGAGACAACCCCCGGCCGCGAGGGTGGCTCACCCCTCTGTTCGCGCTGAGATCAAATCACCCGATTCAGTGCTATCTTCGATCTTCGCGTTGTAACACCGGGCGACGAGATTGAACTCGCGTCGCGCGAATTCGATTGCGCGTTTTTTTTTTTGCAATTTCGAATTGGTGATCCTGTTTGCCTACAGTGAGGAATTTTCGACTCGATAACGATTGATATTGCGAAGTTATGATGAATCTTGCCGATCAGGAGGTGCCTGCCGCGACGACAGAATTGGCGGGCTTAGTAAGTAACTGAAAATTTGTTTGTTATTTGAAAGATGGAATTGAATTTCTAAAGATTTTGTGATCTTTATTAATAGAAAAAAAAATTTTTTTTAAATTAATGATTAGTTATCTCAGAGGAAATCAAGTAAATTTGTAATATTTGATCGATTTGTGTTAAATATGAATCTTGTTAATAATATATAAATTGACGTGTTTATGTAATTGATAAAGAAACAATTTTTTATTTAAGAATTACTATCTTCTCGAAAAGTCAAATAAATTTGTAATATTTGATTGATTTATATTGAATTCTCATTAATAATATGTACTTAACGTGTTTATTATATCCTTTATTAATTGATAAAAAAGATTTTAGATGTTTGAAAATTAACTAAAAAAGTCAGTGAATTTGTAATATTTGATTGATTTGTATTAATCCGTAAAAGTCTCATAAATAATATACGCAATTAATTTATTACAATCTTTATTAATTGATTTATTAATTGATAAAAATGATATTTCTTAAGGATTAGCATCTCAAAAAATCAAGTGAATTTAATATTTGATTGATTTAATCTTGTTATGCATGAACAGATAAATAAGCTGATAACTTAAATAGATGATATTGGATTCGCAAATAAATTCGTTCAGTTTTAGCTGAGAATTGTGTACAATATTTTCGTTAAAATTGAACGAAATTTAAATAAAAAAAAAGTTTTTAATGCTTGAAATCTCTACTTTAAAAGGTTGCTATATTTTTTGAGTTTATGTGAATTTGATAATTTTTACATATAAAAAACTACGAGCTGAAAAAAAAAATGAAAAATTTTTCTCTCACTTTGAGGACTTGTTATGTGTCCAAAAAAATTTACAAAAATTTTTTACGATCAGATATAAAAGCTTGAAGCTTTTCTTCAAAATTCTTTGAAACAAATAAAAAATAATAAGATAGTTCTTTAAAAAATATTTCTATGATTTTTGTTACTCGCAGATTAAATAAAAAAATATTCTGACTTTGATTGCTTATAACTTCAATAAAGATCATCGTACCGCAATTAAAAAAACAGATTCTTAAACTTTGCTCTAAATGGTATAGTTGCCAACTTTAAAAAAAGAATAGAATAAAATTGTATTATTCCAATCTAAAAAAAACCGAACAAACTTATTTGCCAATCGAATTGTTTACATTAAAAATCTTTCTTTTTATAAATCAAACAGAAATCTCGCATTTAAAAATAAAACATTTATCTTCATCATATTACATACACATTTTTTTTTATTTTTATTCAGATTGCTAATAGAAAAATTACAAGACCTTATCTGAGAAAAAAAAAGTATAAATAATAATCTTTATTCGTCAATTTATTTCTAGGCGATAACATTTCTTTTTCATTGCAATATAACATTAATTGCAGTTACCTCACTAGATAAAATAGAATAGTAAAAATTAAAAGAAATTATTTCATGTTTAATTACACAGAAATAAAGCGAAAAAATATAGAAGGTCTCAAATCACAATCGATTACATTTATTCGAGTTACAAATAAATCCGGCTGCTTTTCTCCACTTTTCTTTGACGTTTCTAAATTCCTGAAACGACATAGCATTACGTTAATACCTCTATCCAAGAAGGTGCAGCATCAAAACGTTGCCGGTCACGAAGGTGTTTAAGACCCATTAAACACCGCCGCATTAAGAGCTGCTCCGTTTGATACGGATATCCGACTTCCTCGGGGCCGACACAATAGAGTTCTCGGCGAGTGGCACGAAGTCCAGGGTCATCGTGCGTACAATGCGGCCACTCGAGAGATGATCGCTCGGTCGGGTGGCGAATTGCCGCGGCACGCGCCTCCACGCTCCGATGGCTCGTCCCACGGGTGCCACCCCTTTTGTGTCCTCTAAACACGTAATTGTCGCCGTTACTCCTCGCGTGCGTACGTGCGTGCGTACCACCACCGTGACGACACGATGCGTGCGGGACCCGCGGGTGGTCAATGGACATAGGGACGTGAGAGAGGGGATGACTTGGCGAGTACTTGATTTATGTTTGTTGACTCTAAAAATCGGCCGATTCCCACACACGCGGTTCCTACCTCACCGTCGGGTCGACGCGACGCCGGGCGCCGTTTAATTGACTGCCGCAAGAGATAGCATATGTCACCACTCGAGTTTCCCATGATTAGGGGTGGCCTCCTCGGGAACGGGGCGTGTGCGAAATTACCCGTGCTAGCTTGTATTTGCTGATTGTTTAACTGTTCATTTCATTCTTCTCGATGAGTTTGGTATTAACCCTCCGAAGTTGACGTCAAAGTCTGTAATACGATTACTGATCTGCGAGATAATTCATTTTATTTATGTTAATTAAAAGACACTAATTAATCCTTCGCACATCACAGAATTTGAAAATTTATAAGACTATTTTTCGACTTTGAATTATTTTGCTGATTTCGTCTCAAATTTGAACACAAAAGTGGAAATTCCGAGTTATATAATTGTATATAGTATTCCTAAAAAGGTTGAAAGAGTATATCATTTTTTTCGATTTTTTGAACCCCAAAAATCTTTTGAAAAACACAATCGTCCCTCACCAAAAAAACACATCATGAAAAACACAATCATGACCTGGATGATCTGACTAATTAGAGGTGAAATGTAAAATAGTTTGCGGGGGGGTTTAATTTCAAGAATGACATAACTTGTATAAGGAAAAAGTAATATTATAAATATATTTTAATATTTTAATAAGAATAATCCAAATTTGCAAATGTAACGTAAAGAAAATTGAATTGTTTGACATTTTTGACAAAGATATTTATAATTGAGTGGATCCAATAAACTCACCGTCAACTTTGGAGGATTAAACTAGGTATCGTGTATTCTCGCATGATCAGCTTGATGCTATTAGTCTTACAATAAAATAAATGATATGTTATATGTAATATTTCTATACGTTACACTTTTTGAGCGTTACTTTTATAACTAAATCGACACTTGAGATCCATGCAAAAAAACGTAACTTATAAAAATTCCTTTCAGCGCGATCTTTGCAACGCGTTGTGGGACGCAATTAGCTGATAAACTTGGATACAGTGCGACGAGTTCTTTAATCTCGAAATCTCTTCCACACTGTCCCTCTCGCCGGGCATTGTCCGCCTTTCAGTGTTCACCACTGTCATTATCTTCGCGATTCGTAAGGGTAGGAAGACGGCAGGGAAACTTTCTTGGCGAAGTAACCCGAGTTTTCGCCTGTGATTGATAAAATTGACCATCCTTGCCATTATCGACACGTAATTAGCAGAAGGAACTGTGGCCGCCTTTTATCTGCTCGCTGACCAAAGTGGAGCACACATGAAATGCGGATTGTTAAAAATGTTTCCATTTTGTGAGTTCATTTTAGGCTATTTTTAATTCCCGTCAGATTTTAGGATACAATTCTATTTGTAATTTTGTGCACGTATTTTAATATACACTCATCAGCTAAAAGCTGTAATACTTTTTTCGATGAGTTTCGAAATGTAATCTACTCATCGAGCGATCTTATTTATGGATCTAATCATTCATGTTCAATCGCTTTACGAGAAAGACTGAGTTTCCAATAAAAAAAAAGTGTTATAACATTTTAGCTAATGAGTATTCGTGTATTTTAATTTTACGTGTGTACTATATTTCGATTTTTTTTAAATGTTTTTCATAACATCTGGCACATAACATTGTAAATAAAATTTTATTATTACAGCGGTAACAATCATAATAATGTCCATTATAATGTCATTATAATTACACATATCAAAAATTTTTGTAGATTGTAGATTTTATACCAGTTCTTGTTTACCAGTTCTTGTTTGGATTACAGAATCTAGAATTTATCTTTAATCTCTCTCTCTAAAAGTCACTTTTTATCAACCATTTATCACTGTCTCAATACTTCATCTCCAGAATATAGCTTCCTAGTCCGTCGAGTGATCACGAAAGGGACGACACAGTTTGACGACGTGTCGTCCGCTCTCGATGACTTTATTATAAACCGAACCGAAGTGCACAATTACTACGAGGGAGAACATGGATTTGGGGTGCCAGGACCTCTGTATATATACCTCGCGAACGACGGGGCGTTCCCTCGATCCGTCGTGGCCGTGGGTATCTCGTTTTCACGAGAGGCATAAACGCGCGCATATATAAACTTGCGTGCCGAGTGCGTTCAGCACGCATTCGTCTAAAACGACTTTCCGCTGGGAAAGGCCACGAGACATCAAATGGTACACGGCTCTGTGTTTGCGCCTTCCACTTACGCGTCATTGCCTGATCAATCCGCTGTTAAATCCTACTCGACAAAAAAACACCGATGTTGGAAGATTGTGCACTGAAAGAAAAATATTTTTGGTATTTGTGACTATTATTGCATAATAAAATAATTATGGAAGTTCTATCATGTATTTATTATTGCTATAATGTTAGAATAAAAATTATATATATTTATGTATATATAAAGATAATATATTGACACATAATTATTTTATCGTGCGATTATAGTGACGAAAACAAAATATTTTTTTAGCAGTTCGACAATGTAAAAGACGATTAATCAGCATCTAGTCTCGATATATTATTTCTAAATATCACGCGCAGTATAAATAATACTTTCAGCATTAATTAAGTATGATTGAAAAGTATTAGATACGTTTATCTACTAAATATTAAACTTAAGATACTGGATAAATTTTTAAAAATTAATTTAAAAAATACAAGTATTTCTATTTTATTAAATTAATGCATATAGAATATATTAATACCTATTTCGTGCGCAATTGGAATACTCTACGTGTCTCGCGAATCGTTTTTGCGTCAGTAAATATATATACATAATGGATTGACAGGCGTATTAAACATTTAAGGCGGTATTAGTGAATGTAATTAAAATTTATGTTGAAGCGCACGGATTACAGGCGCCGTGCCATCGCGGCAACTAATTGCGGACGACGATTAATTGCGATCAAAGGAAAATCTCGAGAAGAAATTATGAACAAATAATGAAACTTTGAGCAGCGTGACTCCGCCGGATGCTCGTTAATATCAATACTTTCTATCAGAGATATCCAACATGGGAAATTATACATTGTATATAATATTTTCGGGACAATTCGACATTTTAATTGTTTTATCATTTTATGAACCTAATTTCCCTTTCCCACGTGATAGAGTTTTTCTCGAATAGTATACTTTTTCGCGCGAGATTTTTTTTCGCGACGATAGTTTGCGCTCCCATAATCTGTAGTCAAATTTTACGGAATCAAAGGCAACGTTTGCGTTATCGAAATTCCCAAAACCGGTAACTGAGTTTACCACTAGATTGCCCCGCAAGGAGGAAACCGTCCAATCGTTCACCGGATGTCTTCCTCTTGCCCTTCTCTTACCCTTCATCGTCTATTTCTCACTGTGTCTTTCGCGCGCTTCTATATTGAGAGTCTCACAATCACTCTCTGAAATCACTTGCATTCTCTTTCACATTCGTCTAACATTTATTCTATAATATCGGAACAAACTAGACAAACAAATATCGCTTCCTTACTTCAAACATGACACAGCTAAAAAAAAAACCGTAATTCTTCGATTATTGAATGAGTTAAGTAAACATGACTATTTCCGGATTAAGAGAATATGAAACGAAAATGACATTTGACCATGTTAAGATTATATTCTTTTTGTTGATATTATTTGATTAGTCAATAATCTTCTATCATATTAAAAAATAGTTTTTTCCCTTTTCTAGAAAATTTGATTCTTCGAGTGTGTCGTTATATTGAAGTAAGAGGAGTATATATTAGATTATCTGGCGATTATCTGTAATCATAGTTCTCAGAGGAAACATTTGAATATTATTAAGTCTCTGTAGTAATCCATATTTCTTATTCCTGTGTTTCTAGCCTGGAAACGGATTTGGCAGATTACCCGAGCCACTTCAGACGGTAGCCGGCGAATATTGTCCCACTAACTACCCAGTATCTCAAACGGCGAACAATGAAAAGCTGCACACTGGTAAGTGGAATGTTCGTTGATAAAGGTCTCTTAATAGTCGGCAGCGTGATAATCGCTTTTCAATTTAAACGCATACGAAGAGGATTCACAAGAACTCGCAGACAATTTTCTACGCGCGCCATTCAATGGTTCCATTTTCTAAGAGAAAGTGCATCTACACAAAAATATCTGAATCACTTTAACATTTTAACTTGACGTTCTTAACGAACTTGCGAGGGTGCAATCAAGGGAAAAGGTGAGCGAGGAGTAGAGAGAGACCGGTCGATTCTTCGATTCCCCCGTTCGACTTTGAAGCTCTTTGATATCGTCGCGGCTCGGAGACGTCGCGTTTCCATCGGGCGAGGCTTTCGATACACGAAGACCGTCGACCGCGAAAGGAGAAGCGCACACATAGGAAAGGGCACGTTTAGGAACACGTGCGGGGACGTGTACCCCGAAACGAAACGCTGGCAAGGAGAGAGGCGGAGGGTGAGTTATACCCCCCGAAGAGAGCCTGTCACTCGCAGGCAGCCGAGTCGATATCTTTATATAGTCGCATCAACGACGACATTATTTTCCAAAGGTCGCGACGAAACGCGGTTGCATCGTGTGACATCGCCCGAGACAATCTGCTCGGAGTACTTCTTGCCAATTACTCGGCCCGACAATATTTCCTAAATAGCTGGCCGACATTTCGCTCAACAACGCGTTTTCAGCACCAAAAATATGCTTTCGGTAATCGACAAGTATTTTCTTGGCATCAATTCGTACAATCCGACGATATCTTGATTCTTCAATTCCTTCAATCGATACCTATAGTATCGATGATGACATCTTCTACTTTAAAAGTAAATACTTTTTCTTAGTTTAAGTAGCCCATTGGCAAAAGTCGCTATATCCACTTGAAACTTTTTTGGTGAGAGTTGGTGAGACAAAAAACTTGTATAATTTTTCTCATCCAAGTTATGAATCAGATTTTTTTTAATTAAGAAGAAATTTGTCATCATTGTTTTAGTTTAAAAAACGCGTATAATGTGGTATGAGAAATACAGTTTTTATTAAAATAGAATACACTTGACTGATGTTGAGGAAAAATTTTAGCTATTTTGGAATAAAATGTCTGTCATATTAAATATGACTAATGGATATAACTACATCTGCAACAGTAGGAATTTAGAAAATTGTATCTTTATTTTTCCCTTATATACAGTAAAAATAATTTACCTCTTTTTACAATTTAGATCCACTTTTCTCTCTTCATTTAATAGTACTAATTAGTATTGACATGTAAGATCATCTTTAGGAATTCAAAGGTTTCAGAATCTAATTTTTTCATATTTTTAACCACAGCTGCTTTTTTGTATATAGCTAGGTTACTCAATTAAGATTTAGATTTTAGAATGAAAGATGTTCTCGTGACTACTAAAGACTACGAACTAATTCGCCCCACGATAATTTCATCCTCTTTCGCGACGAGAATCTTCTTCCAGGCGAGTGTCCTAGCCTTGACCTAGAAACATGACATCAATTCCTTGATACGAGATTCACTAAGTGACGTGTTATCACCGCAAAGACTTCCCTGGGACGTCCTCATAGTGGAATTCCTCATAGTCCCCTCCTTAGTATCTCGGTCGTAGAGAATCGCCGAACAACCCCAGTCAGCGTCTGGTTGCAGTGATTGACACTTTATATCTAGCATTGGCACGCCACACCGCTTGCTCGGGATGGACCACCTCCACCTAACTCAATCACTGCCTATAATGCCGCAATTTCTCTATCATAATCGCGTTACGTCCCCTCTCTACACCAGCTCGATCCACTTTTCGACACGACGATTCAGAAATATTGAAACGCCGCCGCGATGGATGAAAGTACTGCTGATCGTTTTCTCTCTTTTTCTTTCTTTCTTCTCCCCCGTTATCTCTATCTCTCTCGTCCGTCTTTTTCATATTCCGCATATCTGAAAACTGCGTTGTAACTTTTCTACCTTTATGACGAATGTTTCCGACTACAAAATTTAATTAGATTCGTTCGTATTGAAATTACAATGTAAAAAGCAGTAAAAATTGAAAAATTTTTCGTGCAATATTTATATGAAAACAATTTTGATAAAGTATATAAAAATTAAGCCAGATACAGAATTTGAAAATAATTATGATGAGCCATCAAAATAATTATATGGATCTCAAGCTAGTTGCTACACTATAAAAGAATACATAAAATTACATAAATAATATATACGATGGAAATATACATAAAATGGTGCGTTTTTTATAAAAATTAATAAAAAAACTTTTACCTCTACTTGTCTAAATATAAATCGAAGAAAATGTGTAATGCCTTGCTGAGCCAGCTTATTAAATTCACACAAACAACCAGTTGGCTGTTTGATACAATCAACTAAGTCTTACTCATCATTTCTTTCATATTGTCTAAATATATCTTCACTGTTAAAAATGTTTTTAAATTTTATTAAATTTTAAGTTACACAATTTGAATTTAATTTCATGACATTATATTATAAATTTAATGTATTTATAATTAAAAAGTATATTTGTGTACATAAAATTTAATGTATTTTTCATGAAAATTTATGAAAATTTAAGTATTTTTCATAAAATTTTATTAAATTTCATAAATTTAATGTACACGTTCATTACATTGAAGTAATTACTGTGACTTAATTTTCAATTAAATCATTTATTACTTTTAATTTCGTTCATAACCACGAGCTTCATTTACATGTAAAGGAAGCTCATAGTTATATTTCTAATAGTGTTTATATTAAAGCTTCTTCAGATGATATGACTTTTGTATACATTCGTAAAATATTAGTCTACATTCAATCATGCATTCAATATATATATATAATAATTATATATATCATGTGTGTGTATAATATTTGCTAATGACATGTTGGAGGCTTCGTTAGAAACGCCTACATGTAAAGAATAATTTTACATAAATATCTAAGTAGATAGATCTAAAAGTAAGTCTTTTGTTGAACTATCAAAATAATTATATAAACCTCATGATTAGCAATGCTGCAAAATGTTTTTTCTGGAAACCGATTAAACATTCTATATATACGTATAATTATTTTAATAATTTAACAAAATTATTTTATAGCTATAAATTTTTAGATACTTCAGCAGAACTACAGCCCGTGTAAAATTACTCACTATAATTATTATAATTTTACATAAAATTGTTTAATCCTACAATGTCAAAATTTTTTGTAGCAGTATCATCATGCTTGAGCGTTCTACATAATTATCTTGATGGTCCAACGTAATTATTTTCAGATCTAATTTTCTGATCTAATTTTTATATACTTCAGCAAAACTGTTCTCTCCTCGTAGAGCACGTAGTTGATACGTGTAATCTGTGCGATCGTAAATTTGTCGAGCGACAGGGATTTAATGCGACATTCAAAGACATTGCGAACACTCGAGAGAAGTCTTATTTGCTGAGGAGAGTATTATAGCCGAGCAATGAGCTGTGGCGTAAGTAGATTCGATTCGCGTCGGACGGGATTTTGTCATGGAACGAAACGAGGTTACCGCCGAGTGGCTACCCATGGCGAATCCTGGAGGCCCATTAAACGCACCCCAGTTCACCGTGGCAGCATTCTTATGCGCCCATTCACGCGGAAGGGTTTGTTTTTGCCTCTGATTCATTCGCGGTCTTCTCGCCTCCCTTTGTCCTCGGCAAGGATCTCGCTGATCTCAGATTCGGACTAGCGCGTTTCTTTCCATCGCGAAAGTGTTAAGTATATTGAAGAACTATCTGTCTCCTTTTTATATCGAACGTATTGAATAAATACGCATATCAATAATATAATTAATCAAAAATAACGAAAGCACACCACGTGACAATCTATAGCAAACATCACTCGACATACATGTGCTCCACATATATAATATAAATGTATTTGCGTTCTCTCCCGCCCATTATTTGTTTTATCTCGTGATTAATAATCATGATTAATTAATGCGTGTTGTTACACAACGAATTAACAAAAAATTAACTTTGATTACAGGGAGCGAGTTATACATGCCACAAGACTACAGGCAAGAAACCTGGTTGCAAGATGGTGAGTGTGCTGCAGTCAAAATTTTATTTTCTTGGCACACGTATATTTTATAATGCTTCAATTAATTACTATAATAATATTGTAATAATATAATTGTCCATAATAATATAATGGTGCACGTTATATATTTGATTTTAATAGAGACTTAAGTCTCCCAAAACCATTAGCCCGGATAGCTCAGTCGGTAGAGCATCAGACTTTTAATCTGAGGGTCCAGGGTTCGAGTCCCTGTTCGGGCGATTTTTTTTTGCTTCTTCATCCCGAAAGTGTTCATAATATAAAAATGATATCTTTACTATGATTAAGTTTCAATTAATACACATAGCAAGTAAAATAAATGTCCAATAACTAAGCTAATAAGAATTAAGATGTGACAAGTTTTATATTATTATTTATTAATTAATAATTAATGGCATTCTAAAAGAAATTAAAACCCATATGAAACTTTGTTCTGTCAATGATCGAACAATACATGTAAATTTAAAAAAAAACATTTAAGTGAAATTTTATTATTGTATAATTCCGCGTGGAAAAAACAGTTTTGTTGAAGCATCAAAAAATATAGCTAAATATAAATCTGAAAATAATTTTGTTGGATCATCAAAATAATTTTGTTGGATCATCAAAATAATTATGTAGGATTCAGTATGATGAGTACATAATAAAAAACATTTTGTATTTATATTAGAAACTGTCTATTCAAGTCCTTAAAATGTGTTAAATTTTTAATATATTTGAATGCTAATTTAACACAATGTGATTTTATGTTATTTAAATATTTTGTATTAAATTTATATTAAATTGAAATTTAAGATTTCTTATTGTTAAAATTTATGAATAAGCAAGTAACATAAAAGAAATATGTTTTAAAATGTAAGAATAAAGAGAAAATATGCGTTAATTTAACATATAAATGTTAATTTTACTGAAAAACATACTTTCATCCACAATTTACTTACAAATTGTGTCACTTTTTGCATTAGTTTTTTATATAATATTTATATTATACTTCCTAACAATTTGTATTGAATTCATCTTAATAATTACAAATATATTGTTGATTTTTTAATCATTAGGCATCATCAATTATTGAGACCTCTACTTTATGAGAAAAAATTTCTTTCATTTCTTTCATTTCTTATTATTAGATACAAATTATGTAATTAGAATATGAGTATAAAAATAATGTTAAATAAAGCTTAAATATTTTTTGCATTATTAACTACAATGTTTTATAAAATAATAACGCTAAATGTGTGTGTGGACTCAATAGAATTTATCAAGAATCAGATTGTTATTAAAGTCGCGAAATCTTGGTATTGATTTTTAGAATTTAAAGATGTAGCATGAAATTAAAGCTCTAAGCCTCCCAGTGAAGATAATTACGTTCAGCCAGTATTCACTCGGAACATTAATTTTAATTACCATGCCCAACTGCGATGTAATACGCGATGGATGTAACGTAACGGATGATGAAAGGGGGGATGATTTTACTCGCGAGACGGAAGCTCGATATTTTCGAGCAAAATCTTTCTTGTGAAAAATGATAAAAAGACCAATAGAAGAAGCAATCATGTGATGTCAAAGTATTGGCAGCGCATGCATATATATAAAAATTCATACAAAATTCAAGCTGCAACTTTATTAAAAATGATAATAAACTCTTAATACACACGATAGAGTCCTTCGCTTTTTTTCTTTGAAATATTAGAAACACCTAGCTGAATAATAATCTATATTCTTTTCGTAAAGAAACTTTAACAACTAGAGAACAAGTTTTATACGGTGTCAGTTTCTGTATTCTCATATATCCCCCTATAAGAATATTTCGGAAATTCATCTTAAAACGAAAGACTCGTATGTAGAGTATAATTCATTTTACAGCTAAAAAATTTTTATTTTTTTATTTTCAATTAATTCTCGTTTACATTGCAAAAATTTTACGAACTATTAAAAATATTAAAAATAAAATAATTTTTGTTGAATAATATTATATGAACAATATTTAAAAAATGTAATAAATATAAAATTCAAAAGTATTTAATATTATAATTAGTTGTAATTTTTCGTAACGTAATATCAGTGATAAAATTTATCGTTTAAAATGTAAATAATACAATAACCTTTCAATTTATATTTATTTTATTATTTATGCACTGTAAAAAAATGTCATTTTCGGATTACTCAATAAGTAAACTCTTTGGATAACTGGACTATTTTTTCTTTTGTAGTTTGGAATGTCATCTTTAAGATATTGAAACATTTTTATTTTAGACTTTTGCATTTTTATATGAAAAAAGGACACCTTAACTTTGATCGCTCTGTTAAAAATCATCATACCGCAATTCAAAGAAACTTAAAGCTGAAATTTTGCTCTATCGAATGGTACAGCTAATTTTTTTAAAAAAACATTATAGATATAACATAAATAGCTTATAAATTTTTGTTTCGATCTAATATTAAAATAAATATATTTAAATTACAACACACTAAAGCGGGACGTTTCAACACGTAAAAAAATATTTTGCTGCTCCAGTTAGAATTATTGCTGTTTTTTGTATCCGATAGAAAATTATGTATCATATGCATAGAATTTATAGCACAAATCTAAATTCTATCTCTGTCATCTATATGATTAGATATAATACATATCCAATAACGTAGTACTTGCTAGAAATTTGTCTATTTTAGTTAATTTTCGTACTTAGATAATTTTCGCTATAATTGCAAGATCACTTTTTTGAGTGAACTTGACTGACAAAATGAGTCTGTTTCAGAATTTTTTTAAATATCTTCTATCGATAAAAAAAATATGTGTTCAATTTATCGCAAATTATACTAATATGATGTCTCCTTCGCAGGTAGCAGCTCCGAAACCGAGGACAGCGAGCAATACGTACCCGAGTTCCATCAGATGTCAAGTAAGCGTCCATTTTCAAAGCGTCGAGCGTCTGTTCGCTCTGTTCATAAGCGTTTCCGTGAACCATTCGTACCCAATATACCTGTCGTCCAATCCTATTGATTATTGCGGAAAGATAGCACGCATTAGTCGCATCGCGTCGCATCGATACGGCGGCAATGTCTGATAATTCGTCCGGATAAATAAATACGAGATTGGAATCCGCGGAACAGGATTGAATGAATGTCAATCTCCGCTGAAATCACCGTTGAAATCGTGTATAGTACACGGAAGTGTTTCGCGCGTCGTAGTTCGGATTCGAAATTGGTTGGAAAGTCTGCACGCTGTCTGAAGATTTAAGACTAGAGATCCTATATTAGAGTCTGGCCACGAGATGAACTTTCGATTGGTTCGCCGTTTTTGTCAACTTTAGTAAGTCAGAACGTAACGTAGTATAACTTAGAATGAGATAGCATAAAAAGAGATTATATCTACACCCTCCTTTCTCATTCTTGTTTTAACAAAATTGGCCATACTCGAGTCTAGATTAAGAGACTCTCTAATCGAGGCACGAAACAGCCATTTTTGATTGACCTGCCATGTTTTAACAATTTCTAAGAGAAGAAAAATGAGAGAAAGAAGTAAAAAATAGAACAGAAAGAGAAAAAAATAGTAAATGAGAATCAAAAAGAATCAAGAGAGAGTGAAGCGGATAGCGGATTCTCTTCTCTGATTGGTTCCGCCATTTATAGCTCAACTTCCGCAAATGTACATGTGTGCATGTACGCATATGTACATACACACAATACTAGTGCGGTACAATACTAGTGTATGAAGCATCGTATGTTCCATATCTCGTACTCACTTCAACAAACGGCGGCTTCCGGCTGAGTCTGCTTCACTCTCCCTTGATTCTCTCTAATAAATGTATGTCCTTCTTTCTCACTGATTTTGTTTAATGAGACTAGAGAACCTGCATACAAAACACGGCTCTTGTCCAGACTCTGATTAGAGGTAATCTAGATGAGAGTTTCTCAAGTCAGAGATGCGGACGCAAACATCCGTCATCTTTTTCAGGACACTTATCATGGAACAAGTTGGAATGGATTCCGATCGGAATTATTTCCTAGATTTCTATTATGTTTTCTAGGGAAAACGGAATAATTCATTCTGACATGTTCTATATAGGTACCCAGAATCTGCTTAACCCTGCGGAACTGACAAAATGTGTACAATTACTAACGTTGAGTCCGTAAGATTATATTAATTAAATTTAAGAAATCAAAATGACATAATTCATATAAAAAATATGAATACTATAATATATTTTAATAGAACTAATTCACAAATCTATAAATAAACAAATTTACAGATGTAACTTAAAAAAAATTAAATTGTTTAACATTTTTAAGAGATAAAAAGATTTGTAATTAAATGTATGTCCAATAGACCCATCAGCTTTGGAAAGTTAAGATAGAATAAGACTGATGCACATATCTACATCGTTCTACCTTAAGTAAGTCCTAAAAGATATGATGAATCAAAACAATGGTGTCCAATCTCTAATTTGAAGATCTCTAGTCTAAAACCTGTTTTCAAAAATTAAACCTGTTCTCTAAGGTACACGCATTAAAAAAGATTTAATAATAATCTAGTCTAGATAATAGTCACTGGTGATTGTATTACTAAAACTTGAGAGAGAGGAAATAATTTCAATTAGATATTCGATTAATATGAAATGCAACTATATAAATGCTTACTTTACCTTTTTTCTAAATGTTATCTTACTTTTCTAATTATTGAGAGATTTTTAATATTGCTTCTATCTTCACCTTTTTTTTTTGAGATTGTTATATGACACCTGTCTTTATGCATTTTTTCCTAATTATTGGTTATTATTATTATTATTATTATTATTATTATTATTATGTTTAGTAGCGTTTATTAAATATCGCACTAATACGATAAACAAAAATAACAAAATATATAACTATTACTTTTTTTTCCGTGTCGAAGACATGTCCCGAATTGCGTCTCTTCGACGTCCTGGCAAATTACTTTGAAAAATCAAGAGACCCGAATCGGAGTATATCCGGTAGAAATGGAAGAGAAAGAGAGAGAGAGAGAGAGAGAGAGAGAGAGAGAGAGAGAGAGAGAGCCCTTTTGTAAATAATCAGAAATGATCTTATTAATTCATCGAACGACCCGTCCGCTCGCTCAATTTAACGTGTAACCGTTGCGTAATTGGCGAATCAATTAGCGACACGCTACACACCGCACGTACATGTTTAATTAACCGTCGACACTTTCCGCGCGCGCGCGTTTGCGGTTTTCCCGCTCGACGACGGCCTTTTTGCATCCGTTCGCGAACGAACAGCGGGAACCATTCAATTTTTTTCCCGCTACGTAAATCGCGACTGTTAAAAGTCGCGGCGGCCTCGCAGCCCGATGCGGCGGGATGCAATATCAGTCCTTTATTAAAAACCGGCGAGAAGACGCCCGCGGGGCACAGTTCTTTTTAGCGTAGCGCAGAGAGCGGAAAGAATCAACACGGGGCGCCTCGGCGATCATCGATATCGGATTACGCGAGTAAGCACTTTATATTAAGCCAGCGGCGATTCGTTCCGTCTTTTTTCTCTTTTTTCCTCCCTCCTATCCCCTCCCCCCCCCCCCCCCCCCCTCCCCATCGATGTCGCTTATTAACGTCGCTATCGATACGCCGCGCTTTTTTCTGCAAATTATTATGATAAGCGAGGCAGACAGCCGATCGTGCGCTGCACATTCCCAACGCTCTCTTTCGAAATTCCATGTAAAGCGCACGGGCCGCAGTTTACATTATTCCGGGGCGCAAAATTCGCGACGAACGATACGTGTAATTCAGCGTCGAGCAGCGTTGAACAAACGTATCGTCGAACATTTCAACCGGGCGAGCAAACACCCAGAGGGAATCGGGGGCTAGCTAATGTCTATATGCACACCAACATGCACACATGCGAGCGAACGCGCACGCAATTCCCAGGCCGCGTATCTTTCGCGTAATATTATATGTAGCTTGCGACGCATTTAGGAAGAGATACATGCTCGTATGTACTTGCAGCCTTACCAGTAGATTCTTATGTAAAACATCACGAAACGGAGAGTCGACATCTTTGAACAGTGGTGCTTCGAAATTTCTTATGTTACTTAGACTCAATTCATGAGTAATGTTGGAAACATAATAAGAAGTATTAGAAATGTTAATGTTTCAATTTTAGTTTACGATTTCGTTTCAAGTCCGACAAGCCGAACCGATTTTTCGTAAGAATCGCACAAACAATCGAAAAAAGTTAAATTTTCAGGAAATAAAAATGTCTCATTTTCAAATTTTTATTATATAAATATGATAATTTCTATTTAGATATTTGATAGATATAAGAACAAATTTAGGATACATTAAAAAAATTAATAAATAAATGAAATATTTCTAGATTTTTGAGAGAAAACACTTCTCGAGATGCTCTAATTAAAAAACTAATTTTATCCAGTTATTGTAATTAATATCATCATATCGGTATTCAAATTAAGATAATGCTCGCACGAAATTTCGGAGATTCAGATGCGAATCCCGATTGAGATGATTTTTGTAATAGTTGTTTACAGGTTTTTAATAACATTATTATTAAAGTGACGATCAGTTAATTTAATTGTAAAATTACTGTTTCAGTTTATTGCGTTCAGACAAACCGAATCGACACACAGTCTATAGAACTGATAATTGTATTTGTATATCCACATATGAATATCAATAATATGAGTAACAATAAGACCTGCTTTGATCGAAAAAGGCTTACTTCTCTCTTATTCTTAAATCGATCTATTTCACTTTTTACTTGATAATATTCATACTACTATTCATAAGTTAAAAATGAAGAAGAAAATATTATTTATAGTGTAAAATAATTTTTTCATTTTTTATTTATCAAATTTTATACTCTTAACAAAAACATTTTTTACAAGAATTAAACTCTCATATTTCCCATTTTCTGTTTGATTCTTAAAACAAAATTATTCATGCTGATATGATGCTGATTAAAAAACGACGTAGCGCCATAATTCAGATTTTGAAAAATAGACTTTGGTTCTTGTAGAAAATCCTTCAATTATTTAATACTAAAACGTACGTGTGTGTTTCAACATTTCGTTTTTCTATGAGATACATAGCAAAGTCCCATTGAAGTCCCGCTATGGAAAATAATTATTACAAGATCTCATGGACGATACAACGCCGAGATAATTCAATCTATCCTGGCGCGCCGACGCGCTTCTTCCTATCAGTAAACTTCCAATGTTTACAAATACAATTATTGCCGGAGGCTTGTGACTTATGCTTCCCACGACCCCGGGAGCCTGTTTGATTTACTGGGGGCATAGCCCTCGCCCTCGCGAAAATCGTCGGCACCCCATTAGACCCCACCTTCCCTCTCACGTGTCGTTACAGCGATGCGTCTTTACTTCCGGTACGACACGCGCCGTTATGTCCTGACGCCCCGCCGGTTCTTTTAGCTATGAATTGTCCGAAGAAAACGATCGTGCGCTACGCATTCAACAAACAATAGTAATGATATTCAGAGGGGCCTGCGAGACTGTAAAAGTTATTCTCGATCGTGACATTAACGTCGTGATAAAAAGAAGATTATACATCGCGACAATTGTTTCATACAATCGTTTCACTTGCATTATATAGGTGCGAGCGTGAAGCAAGAGTCAAGCAATTGCACAAGAAACGGCGACAATGGCAATTATCATCCGCAGTATCAGTCTACAACTGTACCAGTCGCGCACAATCAAAATAACGATTTCCTCGAGATCAACTCGGACCGTTGCTTTGAGTAAGTTCGAGATAAAACTTGTTCCCTCTTTTTGCAATAATAAAATGACGCTACTTATAAGATACTTGTAACGTAACTATATCTATAAACTTGAGGAGCAAACTTTTAAAATGCGTTTTGTCCAAAAATTGTACTCGTAATTTTCAGAAAACGAAAAAGAAAGAAATTATATACACAAGAAAACTACGCACTTTATAGAAAATAACAATATGTCAATTTGTAGAATGTAAAATATTAAATAAAATTGCTTAACAATTGTTAAAAATGTTAAACAAATACATTTTGTTTGTTTGTAGTTAAAAACATAATGCACTTCGAAATGTCTATGTTTTTTCAGCATATAAATTAATGATGAAAAAATGCCTTCTGAACATCTCGGAGTAGCTTATAATAAATCAATGTTCAACAGTGAACACTACACCAACTCTAATTAAAAAAATGAAATTTTGGACAAAACGCATTTTGAAAGTCTGCTCTTCTTAAATTGCTTCTCTCGCGAATAAGCCCTAATTTATACGATGCTTTTTTTATTAATAATTAGTATGCTAGTTTTAGTTCATTTTGAGCGAATTAGAAAACTATAATAAGAAAATATAATTATATATATTATATTAGGTGAAAAATTAATCTAATATTTGTTGATATTTTTTGTCTTTAATCTTTGTTATCTTAAATGCTAAAACTTTAATTTGTCGCGCTTTTCACTTATAAATCTTTTAGAGTACTTTAAATACTTTGCATATTTTTTAGAACACTAGCAGTTAAATATATAATTTACAGAATTATATTTTTTTAATTGCTACTTTTTAAAAGACTAGTTCATTAAAAGACTAGCACGCTAGTTGCTAATAAAAAAGCATCGTATAAACCAGTAAGAAAGAAATATCCTGTGCTCCGTCAAATTTGTGAAATTATGTAAAGTGAAATTTTGCGTGTGTTACTTGCTCGTAGGAATCGAAAGATAAATGGACCGGCTAGTAAGAGTACGAAGGACGTTGCCGTGAAAGAGGAACCGACGGACCGAAGCTATGTAGAGCCACTTCCTATAACGAACATATCATCCACAGCGTCACAGGAAAATGGTAAGCGAGATTCATGCAATGACACACGTTTAGTCAGTATCGAGTATCGAGAAGAAGAAAAGTCAGCGCGGTTCGCTGACTTTTATCTCTGTACGAAAGTCCATCGCCGTGACAAATCCCAGCATAAAGGGATCCACGTGGCGCTATTCTACCCCATAGAGTCCATAAATAATCGGAGAGTACAACGAGGGTACCGCTGTCCATTAATCGATTCGACTTCCGATTAGCTCTTTGAGGGCCCCAAAACTGCGATACAGCTCGATAATGATCGTTTCGCGCTGTTGTTAATTGTTCCTCGCGTCTATTCTTTGCAATCGTTAAAATTGTACTAACAAAAATTCAATAAAGCCACAACGAATCAACGGAGAAATACAGGAAATGTCGTTTAAAAAATTTGTTTTCTATTTATTATAAACTGCATCTTTTGCATGTGCCATTTTACGAAATATTTACTAAAGTAACAACTTTTACTTTTGTATGAGAATCAACATTTCTTGTGATCGTTACGAAGCTCACGACTAATGCACTGGACTCACGCGTGACTGAGCATGCGTAATTGAATAATTAAACGATGCTTTCAAGTCAAAAAGCTATGGCAAGCCTCTTGTAGATTTCAGCAAAAGTTACCGAAAGAAAAAAAAGATCGCCAAGTGCTAGAGATCCCGAGAGAAAACGTAAGTCGAAAGCTGTTTTTCTTTCGACCCGTGCAGTGCAGAGAAAATTTTCAATGCAAGATTAACAGTGTCTTTAGTAATTGCATTCTAGCTTGAACTCTTCGAGAATTCTTTCCTTGTTCGTTAAATCAAGAATTCAAAAATTTTTAATAACAGGACTTTTGTCATTCATTATTGTACACAATAAGAAATATTTTATATTTGCGTTGAAATCGGTTCTTGTTAAAATTTTTCAACATTTCCTAGTGTTAAAATAATACAATTTATGAATAACAATTAAAGTGTAAAAATATATTTTAAAACGTAAATTCTAAAACAAATGAATAAAATGTATTAATTTAACACATTATAGGTAAATGTTTACATATAGATAATCTTATAGATAATCTTACAGAAGAAATATATACTTCCACACATTACAAGTAATGATTGGTGTTACATTTTTCATATCAATTTTTTATATAATGTTTATATTTTATTTTCTAATGTATTCATTTTATGTTAAATTAACATAAAAATTTAGGTCCACCTAAAAAGACAAATTTTCTATTTGTGTAATGATTGCTAATACAAGTAAATCTTATACAGAAAGAAAAGATTTTGCTGAAGTATTTCAAAAATTTAACTAGATTGAGAATAATTTTATTGGCTCATCAAAATAACTATGTAAGATGCTTAAACATACTGTTTAAACATCTTAGTAATACTGTAAAAAAATCTGATATTCTAGCAACTAGTTTAAGCGTTCTACATAATTAACTTAATGTCCCAAATTATTTACAAATTTATATCTAACTATTCTGAACTCAACAAAATCGTTCTTTCCGTGTACATGAATATTCATTTGAAAGTTACGATCATTTTATTAAGTTATACTTTCAATCACAAAGAAGTGCGCGAAACATACAGTGCTATTAAGTAATATTTCAACGACAATAATTATGATTTTTCTATTGAAATATTCCTGATAATCTAATAGATTGTAAACCAAAAGCGAAAATACGCAGCACCACCACCCATCGCCGCCACTCGTCCCGTCTATAAAAGGTACAGTCAGTGAGGGGTTGCAAGCTCATGCTTTGTAATCAGACCGATTAGTCTTCCTTTATTCACGCACACATACAATCGCGAACCGAATCCTTTAGGAACTCGGTTACGCTATATATCCATGGCTCGACACTGTATACGCGATGTTACCCGCCTACTACCAAGTCACCTGGGATTATGCTCGTGCTTCTCTTCGCGTAATTCTCCCTACCATTAAGCCGTTTTAATTATTTACACGTAGTTTAGGTTAATAATAGGATACATTCCCTATCGCCAGTATCGATATCCCGCAATCTACTTACGATCATTCAATTTATTTTTCAAACGGAAAAACCGTCTTGCATTTTATCCGCTAAAATGATTGAATGTTTTAGTATCCTTTATTTTTAAGTAAAAATGCATTAAATAAATTGATCAAAGCGTGGCGTACGCTTTATTTATTCCCGTAAAAATGTATTGTAAAAATTCGTTGCACAGTCAAAAATATTTTGTGTTAAAATTGATCTTTGTTAAAATTTTTAATATGTCTGAGTGTTAATTTAATGTGATGTAATAGTTTTATTCAAATTTTGTGTTAAATTGATATTCAACATTTCTTACAATTAGTGTTAAAATTAATAATTTGTGAGTAATTAATTTAAAATTAATTAATATATTTCATAAATGAATAAAATGTATTAATTTAACATACTATAAATGTTAATTTTACTAAAGAAATTATGCTTCCACAATTTAATACTTGTACATATTATGTGAATTACACTTCTTATGTTAATTTTAACATGATAATTGTGTTTCTAATATATTCATCTTGTATTAAATTACCACAAAAAATTTGAGTAGATCGTTTGAGATACGTTAAATGTGTTAAATTTAACACACAATTTTCAACTTCGTAAATTTCCAAACGGCGGTATCGGCAGAGAAATATTTAGAAAAGATATGAGATAATCGAGATCATCTCGTTTAGAGGGGACAAACAATTCGGAGAGCGATATGTCGAGAACGGAATAGTAATAACCGGTTAATGGATACCGATTGGTTTCACAGTTCCACTAATTAATACGAGCAGAGGATTACGTGGATTACAGAGATCGTGACGGTCTATTCTACCCAGAGTCACTCACGCTCTCGTATTCCGCGTACGCGGAAAATTCGTCCGAGCGAAGCTTCCATTCGCATTCAGATCTAATCTTTGATTCACATGTCGCGATAAATATTTCGACCGGGAGAAAAAAAAAAGAAGCGTACTCTGGGCATGCGACGAGATGGAATACGCAAAACGAGTATTTTCCCGTATGTTCGGGAAAGGACAAGGCGAACTCTCGTCAGGTTTCGCCGCTCGTCAGGTGGGTGGAAAATAGAGCTTGCATTATTAACGGAGCACTATGCCGGAATTCGAGGATCAGCGAGGCAGAAGAGAGGAGAAAAAGCGAGAGAGAGAGAGAGAGAGAGAGAGAGAGAGAGAGAGAGAGAAAGAGAGAGCACGGGCAGAAAAGGGAGGAAGAGCAACGCGACGGCAGAATGCGCGTTTCTCCTCGTCTGAGAGTGGACGAGAGTGGAAGCCATCCTCTTTTCTGTAGAGCCGAGCCCACCCCGCCGCCACCGCCACACCGGCCGTCGTGTTCCGCCGCCCCTATGACCAGTCCTGAATTCAACCCTTCTCCAGCCTCCCTCGGTGGTGGTACATCGCCACCGGTTTCATCAGCTCGCGATTAATTTTAATCTAAAACCACCCGCAAAGCCTCTGGCCCGCGCTCTGGCTTGCTGAGGCTGAGGTCAACCCTTTCGCTACCCCCTAGCGCCTCTCTCTCTCTCTCTCTCTCTTCGCTTTTCGAGAAAGTGCCAGATTGGCTCCGGAGCTTTCGGTTCCCTTCCGATTCCTCGTTTGAGATTCGTCCTCCGTTCGTCAAAACACGATTTGAAGCTAAGCGATCAGGAACGATTGAGTTCCTTCGAGTTTCTGTACCGATATTGTTCTCGTTAGGAATAGAATGACAGAAAAATTCAGTCACAAAGTTTTGTGTTTATCAAATTGTTAATAACGTTTATTCATCTATAAAAAATAAACTTTCGAGTATGAATTGTATCTCATTAAAATCAGAGTAATAATTAGCATTCAAAATAGCCATGCATCTTTAACTATAATACAAGCTTTATGCTTTATTTAATGCGCTCCGAATACGTCAACGATGACCGCGTATTTTTTAATGGATAAATTCTCTCAGACAATGGAAGGATCTTTGGGTTACCAATAATGAAAATCTTTTGGTGCAGTGTCTTTTCTTACATATTTTATTCAAAAGACATTGTGGGAACTCCTTAGGAGACATCATCTGAACTGTAAAATATTTCTTGGAGGTCTGTACTATGCCTTCAGTATTTAATGAAATCTAATTAACATTTCAGAATTCATTTTTTTTTTCTAATATACGTTACTGTGATACCCAGATGACAAGTTGACATTATCTATTATATATACTATTTGTTACTAATGTCAAAATGTTTTTAGTATCATTTTCTCAAAATTACGACAAATAACATTATCTAATTCAGGAATATATCAACAAAAAGTCAAAATGATCAGGTATTTTTGTATTACGAAAAATTGATGTCGCCAACATAATCATTTTTTACTTATTGTTAATCGAAAAGATGACTTTGAAGTTGTCTTACAAATTTAATATGCGGGAACATTTTCTGGAAGTGTGCAACGATATTATATTTCCCTCCATCCAAGATGTGTCTAATTGGGATAGATATTGCAAAATTTACCACGATATCCATCTCGACAGATGCTCGTTGGATAACAAGAAATGATAGTTTGCTACCTAAGTAATAATATGATGAACACACAAAACTGTGTTGCTAAATTTTTTTGTCACCCTGAACAAGTTTGAGCTTGCGGAAATTTATTAATAAAGATAAAGAAAAAACGCGGATGATCCAAATATACGTGTTCTTTTCATTATTCATGAGAATTTTTTGAATTTTGATACCACGATAACAAACTTAGCAATCATTGAACACATCTTCGCAGAGTATTCCTCTTTCCATGACAGGACTTAAGCACGAAGACGATCGTAAACCTTAGAATAGGTCTACAACTTTGCTTTAAGAGGCCTTAAGTCGTAAGTCGAAAGAGACAATCATTTCTGTCTTTAAACTGTTTTCGCGCAGTCTTTGGGCTTCAACCGTTAGACTTAAGCGAATTGAGCAAAATCCTTACGGCCTAAAAGTACAAGTTCTGTTCCCGATATATCGTCACTTACAACTTACAGTTTACGGTCTCTTAAAGCAAGATTGTGAACTTAGGGAAAAAACGGCACACAAAAAACTTAAAGCAGTAAGTAGAACGTAAGTCATAGTTGACCAAAACGTTGTGCATTGACCTATAATTACGACTCACATTTCACTCACATCAGTTACAATCATCTTTGTTGAAACCTTAAACGATTTGAATTAAACTTTTACGGGACTTATTTCTATCTACGCGGGGATAGAAGATTCGAAAAAATATTTTACCGATTTGCATCGTCCGGCGGAAAGGATCACATCGCTTCCTCATATTTTCGGCGTCGCTTCCGAATTCCGATGGCCTTCGCTCTCGCCGTTGGATGCATCGTGACGTCGCTGCAGCAACGTTTATCGGCGCTCTTCTCGACCGCTCGCGCGGCTTCTCAATTTTTCAATATTCCCTGTGCGCGACTTGGAACGTAACCGGATTACGGCTCGAGAATGGCTCTTTCGGTACTGCGACGTCGACGGGGGTTGGCGGCAGCAGCCCCCGAGAGTAAGAGAGAGAGAGAGAGGGAGAGAGAGTGAGAGGAGCGCGGCCCGATTAATATACATATCGCGCGAGCTCTCGGCTTTCGATATTTCAGGGGGCACCATTGCGCGCAGGTTCCAGCCCCCGGTGGGCTTTGAATATCCACGCCCGGTGCGTGAGTGCAATCGGTAATACGGAACGCGCTTTATGTCCTCTCGAGAATTTCTTCCTCGACTCTTTCCTCTTGTCCGCCCTCTCTATCTCCCACCCTCTATGAGGAAAAAACACCCGCGGATAATCCGATGCTTTTCCCGCGTCTTCTTATGTTGTGACGGCTTCATCTTACGAGCGCGATTGCAGAGGTGCTGGGACTCGAAATATTTTTGTACACGCTGAAATATAAATTCACCTTTCGTAGACTTAATTACATACATCGATTATATTATGTTTAGATTGTATTTACTGTACTGTACATGATTGGAAAATTTATGTTTTTAACACATTTCACGTGTCTCAAATGGTCCACTCAAATTTTTGTGTTAATTTTACGTAAGATAAATATGTTAGAAAATGACACAAATATTATGTAAAAAATTAACATCAAAAATATAACACTGACATTGCAAGCAAACTGTGAAACATATTTAGTAAAATTAAAATTTATATTGCATTAACAGAAATTTAAATTAATATTTATAAATAAGTAAAATTAATTTATAATTTGTTAAATTAATATATTTTTTCATTTATCTTAGAATTTATATTTTAAAATATATTATTTTTATATTAATTATTTATTTACTCATAAATTATGTTATTTTAACACAATTGTACTATTTTCAAATAGCACAATATTATGTTAAATATTATGTTAAATTAATACTCGATTATATTAAAAATTCAAAGATGTAACAAAGACCGAATTTTAATATAAATATAAACTGTACATTATGTATGGAACAAAATATGTTAAACAAAATTAGACGTAAAAATATCGAACTTCAAGAACCGAGGAGGACCAACGTCCGCTAATCTAAAATCAAATTATCGCTACACAGATAATAGTGATTCTAAGATCACACTGCATCTTCTTACAGCGAACAACCTAATTTACTCACAACGCCAACAGCAACAATACGGGAACGTGACAAGGGATCATAGAGGATCGTCACCGCCACCCAGTCGTCCAGCCAGCGCTTCTTCCTCGACTTCCCAATGGCAGTCGACCTTCTCTGTTTCCTCCGAGGCCTTTCTGCAAAGACAGGAAAGCTGGAATTCCGAAGCTTACGCGAAAAGAAGCGGCACGCCGACTTGGACTGAACTGGGCACGCAGCTAGATCCCAGGAGCTCGTCTTGGGATCGGCAGAATGGCTGTTATCAGAAAAAAAGCTCGCCCATTTCGACTTGGAACCCGGACCACATTAACAAGAGGCCGTCGTCTGCGACCGGCGTATCAGCTTGGAGCGACGTCACTGTCGGTTATCAGCAACAGCGACGTGGTTCCCTACAATTGTGGCAGTTCCTCGTAGCCTTACTCGATGATCCCGCGAATGCACCTTGTATCGCGTGGACTGGACGTGGAATGGAATTTAAACTAATCGAGCCGGAGGAGGTTCGTAGAAAACGCTTTTATTTAATGTTTTATTTAATTAACCAATTTAATTTTCCAATAATTAACTGAGTAGATAATTAACTGAGTAGGTAAAAAACGAGCAAAGGAAAGATTTTAATTTAAACTAGTATATCATCTCATATTTATTCAATTAACTAGTTACTTGATGTTATAAAAACCATGGAATGTTTCGATTATATTAAGTCTTCATTAGACTTAATATAATTGAAACTTAATGTAGTCTGATGACAATAACATGAATTTAAATTAAAACGTAATGTTTAAACATTGGATAATTCTAAATTTGAAAGATACGAAACATAAAATCATGTCGTCTAAAAACTATCGAAACTATTTCTTCGTTGGATGCCGAGGAAGAATGGAATCAAGATATAAAATTGTGTGAAGATATAAAATTGAAGATATAAAATTGTGTCAAGAGACTTTTTATATCTCGATATGTATACGAATACACGCCTCAGATAATGAACTCGTGTTATCGCTAACAGGCAAATGCCAAATTAACTTCCCAAGTTTTACAATAGCTTCCTTACTTTAAAAGTGACAACTTAAAAAGTTAAATTTCTCAGGGAAAAACTATTTTGACAGAATTTGAGAAAATTATAGAGAAAATTATACTGATCAAAAATATCAGTAAAAAAGATATATCCTTAATCAAATAATCAAATCATTTTTGTCATTTTCGTTTTATAATATTTAAAAATTATCTTTTTTGAGTTGTGATGATTTTAACAATTTTTTTAAGAAATTAAGTTCACTTTTAATAATTGATAAGGTATTTATTTAATTCATTCATGGTAACTCGAAGAGCACTTGTTTTAATTGTGTTACGTTTTTTGAAATAAAAGTACAAATTATAAACTATAGAAATCAAAGGCTTAAACGGTCTAGGCTGGATCTTAAATACTTGTATAATTCTTATGTGAATTTATATATTACGTATGTAGTCCCCAGAAACGCGTGCCGAAATGATTTTTCGGTCTTAAAAACGCTAATTCTACTAAACTACCACAATAATATCACGAATTAAATTAACTAGCAATTTAACAAATATTTGATGCTTATTCGCATCTTCGAAACGATCTTAATAATGTTGAATAACATATTAAAATCTGTAAATAATTAATTCTTTTGTATGTCTTTTATCAGAGATACTTATTATATATGTTTCTATTGGCAGGTGGCACGAAGATGGGGTGTTCAGAAAAACAGACCGGCTATGAATTACGACAAGTTGAGTCGTTCATTGAGATACTACTACGAGAAGGGCATAATGCAGAAGGTCGCTGGCGAACGATACGTGTACAAGTTCGTCTGCGATCCGGAAGCGCTCTTCAATATGGCGTACGGTACCGGCGCGTCTTCGGGGATTAACGGAGAAGTTCCAAGTAGTATGGTACGGAGCCATGCGGTGCCCGGGAAAGGAGCGGGCGGCAACGAAGTTCCAGATTTGATGAAGCATCCCGCCACGGGGTATAGCGACGCGGTTTTCGCCATGTATTCGAATACTGCCGCAGGTTATTAGACTTCATCGACATTAATTATTTTATATGCATATCAAAACTATAAAACGCATTTGCATAAGTAATTGCATAAAGTATTTACAAGAAATTAATATTTTAATTGAATTTTTATACAGTGTACGGGTCTTCCAGTCTCCATCATTTGCATCAGTACCTCGGGGGTAACGAGGGCTTCAAAACGCCATCAAGCAGATATCACCCCCATTATCCCCATCAATACAGTAGCAATCACCACCACCATCATCATCATCCGGCTCCGAGCTACACCGAGACCTTCCTGAACTATAGTCGATTGTCATCACACGAAGCTGCATTCGATTCGAAGGCACATGAACCGCCAGCGAGAGATTCGTATACTCAGGAAACAGAGAGTACCAGTAGGGAACGGGAACCCGTATCGATACCGTACGACAACGTGCAGAGATCGCAATTACCGGCCTCGACTGTACCGTCGCAATCCTCGATACTGGACGGCGCGGCGAGCTCAAAGCTCGAGCAAGCTCCGTATACGTGTTTAGGCGTTGGAAGTTGCGTCTGTTAAATAAATGTGATCGAATCTGTTATTTGCATATTATTCGAAGGAAGATCTCCTATCGGTCATGCCTGACGATTCAAACGGAGCAAAGCTCTGAGGACGTATGTACGTGGTATTGTAAATAGCGCTTATTTTTCCGCACCGATTATCAGACTTCCTGGAGATATAGATTAATAAATCTATTTGAGTGCGAATTCTTCAATTCGGGTCAATGCGTTATCTCCGATCGTTACTGAGCGCGTGTTCTAGTAGTTTATCGCAGTTGTAATTTATTTTATAAATATTAAATAAATCTTATCAATAGGACGATTATTAAAAATATGATACATGACTAGTACTTTTTATTTACTACTCGACAATTAATGACTCATTAAGCACTGAGAGAAAAAAATGATTGGAATAATCATAATTTAACTATAATTTATAGTCATTTTTTAGGCTAAAAAACCATAAATTTATAATTATTTTAATCAGAATTATGGTAACCTGAACACTGAATTATGATCATAATATGTATTTATTCAACTAATTGTATAGTTGTCTTACACATAAATCATATTTGCATATAGTAAATTATAATGTAAAATGTTATAATTATACATATTAGATTATTATTACTAACATTATAGTAATAATAACTATAAAATGATGCTCCCAACCATAATTATTTTACCATGCAATTATAGTCACAAATACAACATACTTTTCTCTCAGTGCGTAGACTAGAATACTGCGACTTTGACATAACATGATTATCCCACATCTTTTCATTAATTAGAAGCAAAAATCAAAATATAAAAGCGTAAATAAAGTGAATACGGCAGCTGTGGAATTTTACATCGTTTCGCGCGTTGCAAAACAAGAGCTCGCAATCTCAAAAAATCGACAAATATTAAATCATAGGATGGATCATCCTCTTCACGCGTCCTCGATGTGACGTAAGTGCGCAATCGCGCATGTATTTCGGGCTCTGACATATATGAATCAAGCGTGTTTATATACTTTATATCGACCTCTCGCTTTCCCTCGCTCACTTCGCCGGTCGTCTTTCCTTAACGCGTGACGAAGCTTTGCTGACAAGTATAAACGGTGACTTAAGCCGACTTGTACTAGTCACCGCCAGCATTGCGATTCAAAAACTACTAAGAACACTTCACGAATAGAAGTAGCATCCGAGATTTGATAATTCTACGAGTGTGATAATTCTAATTTGTGCTTAACTTGAGATTATACTGTACAATTATTCAACGCAATTAGGAGCAGTGAAATTTTGTTGGTAAGTATTTTTGTTATTTCATCTATCTTTAGCCACTTTTTCGTCAGTATCTTATTACTAAAAAAAAACTTCAATAATATCAATTATATATTTTCCTAATTTCATTTATATGTATCTTTAAGTAAACAATGAAGTAATATTACTAGTATCCTTCAAATGTAAATTTTGATGAGTATCTCTGCTGTTTTATTTAAACTTTAATTATTTTCCTATTAGTTATTTATTAACTTCAACAACCGGTTTAACCGGTTTTTTGCTATAATATTTAATTTCGTACATATACCTATACATATATACATATATCTTTGAATGGACGATAAAGTAACATCGCTAAGGCATCTGTCAAAAGTAGTAAATAAAATTGTCCGGTTTAAGAAAAACTTCGCTTCATAATATAATATAATATAATAATATAATTTTAATAATAGAATTGAATGTCACACGTCGCTCCAAGTATGTCGCATTTACAACAAACAGTGGTTGCCAAATATAACAATTGAATGGCTCGCAATCGCTATTGATCCTTTCAGTGTTATATGTGTAGCTTCCATAATCCGAGGACTACGTCAACGATAAAATTGACATACGCGCTTCGCATTCTGATTGACTGTCTCTCCGCCTTCGGGCGCATCCTCTCCTGATGATTGGCTGTGTCGCTCCAAATCGATTCCTCCGTGCACACATCACCAGTTTCCCGAAACTAACTTTAAGCGATGTCAAATACCGCTAACGCGTAATTCATCATTTCCACGTCTTTATTGAGTTCCTAGTAGTGACAATCGGAAGCGATGAAGCGATTAGCAATAAACGCGCGTAATCGCGTTACTCCAAAATCGATTAATATTCATGTTACTGATGAATAATTCATATTTGCGCGTTTATATTTTTTTCATACGATATTTATTATATATGGTATTGGGAATTGAAAACTGAAAGAATTAATAAATGATTTATTAAGAATTAAGCGGAATAAATATAATAATTGAAAGAATTAAGTGGAATAAATATAATAAATTGGCCCCAAAGATGATGTAACGAAATAAGAGTCGTATAAAGTAATGTAAATACAATACGTTACGATATATTCCTCAACTTTCTAAACTTTCTCGTTAGAAAGATGCTACTAATGCATAACAAATTTTATTTACACAGATCAAAATGGTGAAAACGAAATCCTCAGAACAGGAGGAAGAAGGCATGGGTTTCAAGAACAAGCAGAAAGCGTTGGATACTCTAAAAATTTTGGACGGTCGTGATACCATTTATCAATTTCATGTAATCATGAATTTCATCAGTCGCGCGAAAAAAACGCTCCAGATTACACGGAAGGAAGAGAAACTGGCGAATCTGCGTGACGCTCTGAAAGTCTTCGAAGATTGGATGGCAGATTACAAGGAGAATAATCGAAGAAAAGAGAATCTCGCGTATCTGTTGATCGAGACGATCAAGGCCTTCCGTAGCCTCGCGAAGAAGTACGACGTGTGGGACGACGGATTCTTCAGGTGAAGACCCAGATAGAATACAGAAGTCATAATAATTATAAAGGTGTCATCATGACTTTATTTAGCACTTATAAATTCACTTATAAGTAACAAATGAAGTTCTATGGTATTGTTCTCATACAGAACTTTATTTGAGAAACGTTCTAGAAAAATTCTTAGGATATAGGGATGTTTTTCTGCACGTCTTTTTCAGGACGTGCCTTGGAGATTTATTGTATGAGGATTATCCAGAAAATAAGTTAATAAAAGTTTTCTGTAAGTATATATTTGTTTTCTTTTTCAACAGGCCAACAAAACTTACTTTCTAGAAAATCCTCGTACAATAAATCTCTATCATGACTCTATATGTGTTCTACCTAACAAACTATCGCAAAGACTCGAAGCACTTTTTAGTAAGCTAATATCAATTTTCTTTAGGGCATATATGAACGAGAAGGGTGACTACAAAAGCCTACGGAATGTGAAAGTTCCTAACGGAGACACCACGTGGGACATCGAGAGAAACAGGCGTCTGAAGGAGATCATTAATAGGATCAAGAATAATCACGTCCAATGGTATGAGACGGACGTAGGCGATTTTCGGGGATTACCGACAAAGGAGCATGTGCGATGCATCGTGCTCGGATATAGTCCTGATCCTATGAAACTGAAAAACTTGGCAGTTCAAGTGCGCGAAAAATTCAATGAAGAAGATGATGACATGGACGTGGAGGAAGAACGAAAATCTGGTAAGTTTTTTTAAATTTGTGTACAAATTGAAACAACTTTTCAGAAATGAACTGAGAAAATCTACAGCTTTTTTTATTTTTCATTTATGTGAATTTTAAAATATTCTAAGATTTCTTAAATTTCTCATTCTATAATTTTTCAAAAAATATTTTAAACTTTTTCAGATTTTATAAGATGTAAACTTATAGAATGAGAAATCTGAAAAATCTTAGAATATTTTACAATTCATTATATAATAGGATATAAAGAAATCTAAAAAAATGAAGACTGTCTTAGCATTTCTGAAAAGTGTTTCAATTGATATAGAAAGTCTGAAGAATTTTGTAAAGTAATAAAATTAGTTTAAAAATTTGAAAAATTATATAAAAGATTATAAAAAAAATTCAGGCAAAGGCGTTAAACGATCTCGCGATAATTCATCGAGCAGCGACAGTGATAGCGATAGCGATAGCAAGCCGGAAAAAAAATATACAAAGCGTTCGTCGGAAGCTGAAGAGAACGAAAAGAAGGAAAATATGCTGAGTTTTAAGGATAAAGACAAAGCTTTGCAAAGCATCAAGTCCTTGGAAGGCAGAGACATATCTTACCAGTTTTACGCGATTAGCGGACTGGTGAAGCGAGCTGAAAGAGTAATATCGTGCACAAAGGATGAGCAGAAGATCAAAAATATGCGGGAAGCTATTGAAATCTTTGAGAATTGGATCACCGACTACAATGTGAAAGGCCGATCGAAGGAGAACTTCAATTATCTAACAATCGATATTGTGCGAGCCTTTAAATCTCTGGCTGAACGATACAACATCGAAGACAATGGTTTCCTCAAGTGAGTCTGTGATAAAAATATTGGAGAAGAGATACAAAATTGGGTGAGATTAAATTTTATTGACATTCTTATTGTTTAATTTTACAGAATTTACGAGGAGGTGAACGGCGACTACAAGAAACTCAGGTCTGTCCGATTTCCGGAGTCGAACGTTACATGGGATGTGAAGAGAAACGAACATCTTCGGGAGCTGGTGAATTACATAAAGGAGAAACATGTTCAATGGTTTGACACAGACGTCGAATTCCGAGGTTTGCCTACCGCAGAGCACACCCAATGTATCATGTGGGGTTTCAGCTACGATGTCGCCAAGCTAAAGAAGCTACTACCCACATTAAGCAAGAAACTCGAACCTGCTGATTAACGTTATGATTTATTATAATAAACATTGGATTACTAGAGCGTCGCTTTGAAAACCGATACGCTTCCATGATTAAGCGTGACAAAAGTGAGAAAAAGTACATTGTTGCACATTCATATTTTTTTATACGTTACACATTTAATTGTTAAATGTTTTACTGTGGTAAATATTTTTTCACATATAATTGTACAAAAATACACGTGCATAAAGCATTGCATATTTTAAGGATGTGCATGATATTTAATATAGGTAAAGAATTACAAATTAGTGGTTAGAAAGATCAAAAGACACGAGTAATGTTTATTGGATCTATAAAAATAAAGTAGTTGATTATAACATACATTAAGAATTAAAACTAGTTTCTTATCTATAAATTAATCGGAAACATTTCGACTGTACTAAGTCTTCTTCAATTTATAAATAAAAAATAATTAAACATTGGAAAGAAAGATATAATATATTAAAAACATGAAACATGATATCATAAGTTGAACATAATACATTAGAAAAATGAGCGCGAGCGTGATATGATAGACCAGCTACTGATCTATTATGCCGGAGGTCCCGAGTTTTATCCGCCAGATAGGAATCAAAATATTTACGCTCATGTCTTCTGTCGATAGTATCCTTGCCCACAGAAACATCTCTCGAAAAATCCGCCGTTCAGAATCGGCATTAAAACTGTAGATCCCATATGCCTTGTGGCAATTGAATAATCAACGTATGCATCAGAAGCATATAAGAAGGGTATAACATTAGGCTAGAGGCCTGTTATACCCTTCTTATATGCTTATAATGCGTACATTAATTATTTAATTGTAAGAAGAAGACATTAGAATGATGTGATGGAAAAACATTATTAAAAGTACATAATTTTTAAAAATGTGATATGGCTCTAAGTTTATAATTAATATCAATTCAACGTTTCAATGTTTCAAAGTTAAAATCGCATGATCACCGAAGTACTGGTAAATAAAATCAAAATAATAATGAAAATGAAAAGTTATTAGAATAAATTGAACGCATTATAAAGAATTAAATTAAAACGCATAGATGTAATTGTTTTATCAAGAAGAAAAAAGGAAAGAAAGAAAAAAATTTATTATAATTTATTATTTATATGGTTATATATGTATAATTTCATAAATATGTATATACATTATTAATTAATATGTAATCCTTATTGTATTAAAAGAATTTTTGTTGAATTTATTTATATATGTAATTTATTTATATAATTTTATACATAATTTTTATTTAATTATTTATGTTAGATTGAAAAGGAAATTCTTTTTTTAGCTCAAAATTATGTAAAATATATTTGTTATGCAATTCATTACAATATATTTATTGGCAATATGCCAAATACGATAAAGCAAAGTTTCAGTTTTAATAATTAGTCTGTTTTTTTAATTGCTATACAATAATTTTTTATGGAGTTATGAAAAAGTCAGACTGTTCTTTTACTTAACTCGCGAGTAGCAAATCATTATGTACTACTACATTAATATTTCACGCACATACACATAAATTTTTGTAAAATAACTAGCATAGAATTAGACTCTAGTATAATTAGAAGTGTAAATCTAATTCCAAGAACACGATAACAGTTTATGGTGTGTTCTACTAGTTTACCTCCAACTTCGTAAGTATAGATTGTAGAGCTTATGTATACCTACTTACTAAACAAATGTTGTCACAACTTGGCAATTCTAGACGATGACCAATATGAATTAAACTATGAAATGATAGATTTTAATTTCAAACTTTTGTCTTTTATGATCTAAATTCTACATTATAGTTTAATATTAATGCGTATGTTTTAATTCCGAAAAGGAATTTCCAAATCTGTAAAAGTAATATAAGCAATCTTAATCTACAAACATTATTGCAATTAATCGGAAAAACAGACGACCTTAGCGTTCTCTCCACTGATCTCTTATGAATTTATTGCAGAAACGTACTTGTACATTGTATTTGCGATAACTTTAATTTTCTTTTTTTAATTTTATTTTTCTCTTAATATAAAAAAATTCTGATCCAGAAATTTCCAATCACTAATTAACATTTCAACAAAAATTACACTCAGAAATTTTATTTTATTGAACAACTACATTTAACACAAAAAAAATATACTCCCTATTTTATGGATCCCGAATTATCGTCTTCTCTAAAAAGTAGAAAATGTATTCTTTTTACGTGATTCAAAAATAATAAGATTTACGTCATTGAAAAAGCATTCATACATCAACATTTAATAATGCAATCTCTCAGCAACGTTCTGTGTTAAAGTTACAAAATATGTGTATATAGAGGACAGTGGTCTATATCGAATCATGTTCCAAATATAGGACTTTTTTAATTTAAATGAATACAATGGCGTGCTATTTATAATATGAAGTTATATGACATCAAACATGTGACAGCAGTTTGACAGTTCCCAAATATAACGTTCATAGAATAGACGCAAATAATATGTATTTTCAGCCATCATGCGAAAATTTAAAACAAAAAAATCCTTGTAAATCATTATTTGAAAAATGTTAAAAATTTGAAAGGTAATTTACTTAAGATAATTGAGGAGAATTTAAAAATATCAAGTTTTGTGATCGATAACTTCTGCGGTTATTATTGTATAAAATTTGTTCCAAAGTTTGAAAGGACTCGTGTCCAAATCGGATCTTTTTTTGGGTGTTCAAATTGGACTTATAATACAGTATATAGCTTACAGGCCTGATGTAGTAATGATGATCAACCGACCAGATCTGGTCCAAGGAATTAAATCAGTAAAATATCATGAATCATCAAACTCAGATTAATTGAGTTTTATCGATTTTAATTCTAATATAAACTGTTAGTAATTTTTTTCCTGAGTAAAATTTTTATCTTTGACTGTCAAATTGCATTTTTACTCAATATTAACAAAAATACATTAAAACATTTTTAAATTCTATCTAAAAGTCCATAAAAATAGCAGTATCCGATTTCGACCAGGCGATGATATAGTTTGAAATCAATAGTTCCAAATCGGACCAGAAAAAATGTTTTTATATTTTCCTCCACCATCCCTGCCAATTTTATCGGCAGTCCTCTTTTCTTTGTAAGTATACTCATCTATAAAACAAACGAACTACTAATAAATTTAGTAGCCCGTTTTTGCAGGTAAGTATATCTTTAATTTATTTTTTTATTTTTGTCTAATTATTTTATTGTATTCCGCTAATGAAATTGCAATAACTTTTTTAAATATTATTCTTTATTGTATTATTATCATTTATACAATTCGAGATTACAATTATAATAATTATTTACACAATACAATATACAATTATCAATGCTGTTCAAAATATAATAAAAATGATAATATAGGAGAATAATTAACAAATTTTAGTAATAAAAGATTATACGAAAATGTCGAAAATATGATAACACAAATTTTTCTAAATCAATGTTTAATAAAATATTGATAAATATAGAAGAAATACTAACAACAATTAGATCGTATTTACTATTAATTTGCAAATATAAAACTTAATAATATCGCGATAAAAAATAAATATGTTTATAACAGCATTTCATCGTGTTCAAAATAATTATCTCAATAATTTCATCATATCAAAGTCCCTCTGCCTTGTAGTACTCTGGTTAGTATCCGATACAAAGAAGAACAATCTTCAGTGAAGAGCGAACTTAATGTATTCTGATTCTATGTCAAATTCACAAGATCCATTTGCAAAGAACAGTTAAGCATCCGTGAAATATCAGTGATCTTGTTACAAGAGGATGTGCATCCCGAATCTTTCAGATTACTTACGATAATAATAATTTGGATAGCATGTCAATTACAATTACTATTTTATCACATCTTTAATATAATATTAAAATTTACGAGAAAATATGTTCTGCCACATTAATAAAAATCACTTCTTATTAAAAATAAACGGATAGAATGATTTCTTTACGGAATAGTGGTTACGAAGGAATATATTTAATAAAATAATAAAATATATGCATTATTTTAATTTTAATATGTATGAGTACAAAAGTTTCTTGGGTACCAACTGTTTGAGATAAATCGAATCTGATAATAATAGGATTTTAAAGAATATACTTTTATACTAAAAAATTTATTACATAAAATTTAACAATTCCTTATTTTTTGTATTTTCCAAAAATTTAATTATTAATATTAATTAATATTAATTATCCCGTTAATATAAGGGTACCCATTCGACTTATCTCGAATTTTTTTGTACTCACATAATTTTAACTAAATTCGTGTATTCATGACAACATTATTAAAAAAATATAAGACATTTTGGTAAAAATTATCTAAATTAAAAATCAAAATATGTTAAATATAATCTTATAATCTCTGCATATATTTTATCATAAAAAAAATATATATACATATATATAAAGTAATAATTAATAATATTCTGAGTGGTGGGATGTCCAAAACCTAAAAACGATTTTTTAAATGATAATTAGAAAATTAAATATGTGTGGCGGGATGTCCAATAACCTAAAAATGATTTTTTAAATGACAATTAGAAAATTAAATATACACATTCGTAACCACATTTTTATTAGAGCAATTATCGAAAAATAAGCAAATTTTTTGTATAAAAATTAAATTTACTTAATAATTAAATTTATTTAATAATTTACTTAATAATTTGGACTTAAATAAATGATTATTATATGTATATATTTATATTAATCATATATAATACTAAATTTCATTTGTTATTAAGACAGTACTATTACTAACATTATTATTAGTGGGAGAACATTTAATAAAATAAAGAAAGTATTCACAAAAATTGTATGCTAAAATATATCATTAAATTATAATTTCGCAACTTGGCTTTAAAATATATAGCAATTATCATTGACTCATTAGGATAAAATTATTACTTCCAGTAACTGCAGACGAAAAAACTCGGGATTAATTCTGATCCTGTATAAGAATCTCCGAAGAGACACCAAACTAGACTTCGTGAATGGACTTCACGAAAAGCGACGAGAAGTAACTCTCCATGATGAAAATAATTTCGACTTTCTATCGGTACAAAACACGTAATTACTGGCACATATTGACGCGAAGGACAGCGATGAGGCATTTGCATACAATAAATTGATCAAATATACTTGTAATTCTATAATATTAAAAATGTAAATGTCAAAATGCAAGCAAAAAGTTAATATTTAACTTGCCTCAGTTAAAGCTCCAATCTTCAGGACTTATTTAATAAATTTGTATACTAATAAATATAAAGAAAAATTGATCATTATTTTAACATAAAAATTTTAATTAGAAGTTACTTAAAATTATTAATGACTTCTTAATTCAAAATAAAATCTAATTTAAATCTAATTTAATAAAAAAATTTCCAAATTAAATATTTATTGAACTTATTAAATTAATAGATTTTTGTTATTATATGTTTCGTCAATTTCGTATAATTTACATTTAAATTACGCAACAATTTGATTTACTATGATAAAACAAATGCTATCTATATTAAATAGATATTCAATACGGATATATATATTCCAGTAAATGAATAACTTATTAGTAATCGTTGGCAAATTACAAAAATAAGTATATATGATAGCATTTATCTGGACATAGTTCACATAAATTTTGCAATACATATCTAATACTATTAGGTGTTGGAATTAATTCGTAGCGTTTTTAATGAAAGAATGTTATTTATTTCACATGAGCATTAAAAAATACATTAATGAAAGTACTTCCCATCACTTGTAAAACGCTACGAATTAATTCCAACACCTAATATTATAAGTACATACATTTATTTATAATATAATTAATTACAATATACAATATATAATATACAATATATAATATACAATATAACACGTTACATAATTTGGATGCGTACAGAATTTTATAAAAAAGTTTAATTTCAGGGTAGCTGAAAAATCAATAAAATTTGAAATTAATTAATT